AAGGTTAATGCAAATGGGTGAAGTCTCCCTTTAAATAAAACACAAGTTGACTGATCTAATAATTCTTCATCAACAAAGACATGTCAAATGAGAAAATATGGCTGCACATCATGTATGTAAAGGAACATGGGGCTTTTAAGTTAACGAATGATATTTAAAACTCAATCAAAAGACTTGATAAACAGATATATATTATTTGTTAGTGAACTCGATTGTAAAATCTCTTTCCCTCTCAGGTGGTTGGACTCTTCCCGGTGTCTCATGCAGCAGGGCATCCAAGATAGCGACCGAGTCTGGCTTCGCTTCAAATACTTTTCCCTCTATGACATAGAACCCAAGGTGTGTGTGTGTGGTGTGTGTGTGTGTGTTTGAATAGGAGGATTTTTATATATTTTAAGCATCAGTGTATCTGTTTGTAACTGTCTCTCTCTCTCTTTCTCTCTGGTGGTGCAGTACGATGCTGTGCGTCTGAGCCAGCTGTATGAGCAGGCGCGATGGGCCATCCTGCTGGAGGACATTGACTGCACTGAGGAGGAGATGATGCTGTTTGGAGCTCTGCAGGTACTAAAGCCTGCAGCTGAAGAGACAATATGTGCATCAAAAGGCCTGGGAAAAAAAACAACTAACTACATTTAAAAAAAAACATTTGAGGCAGTGGACATTTACGTCATATTTTACAACGACAAGTATTACAGGAATTTAAAACTTCTCATATTTGTATGCAAATACTCCTGTACCAAGAAATGATGACTATAAATAACTCTCATCTACTCAGACAGTTTAAAATAAAAACTAAGTTCTGACTTTTAATCTATTGTGAGTATGCTAAATGCATCTCTTGACAGGAAACTGTCTGCATGTTTTAAACATCAGCTTGTTGACCAATCAACCTTTAAATAGATATTCTTCAAATATGGTCAATAAATGTCACTTAATTAAACCAAATGATGTGAATCATACAATAAGAACATTTATAATCTGAGCAACAAAATCATGAGGTTTAAAAGCTAATCAAATGAGTATTATTAGGCAGAATGTTTCAGGGCATAGCTCTAAACTGGGAGTTTTATGTTTTTTTGTTTTTTTTGCTTTACTATATACATTGACACTTGTGAAAGCTCAGTGAGCATTCAAATAAACATCAAATGTGTATTCTACATGAATCAGTTTTGGAAATGAAGCTAGATCAAGTTCCAGATGACACCAATCAGCAAACTGTCTGAGCTATTTTCTCTCTTACCCTCACTCTCCTGGATAGTACCACATCAGTAAGGTGTCTCAGTCGGAGCCCCAGATGCTGAGCTCCAGTGCAGCCATGGACGACCTGGAGTCTGCCCTGCAGTCCCTGGAGGTCAAGCTGGACGGAGAGAGCAGCTCTGCTTCTGAAATGCTGGTTAGACTATTTGGATTTTTTTTTGTTTTTCTCTTGGAATCAGTTACTGTCAGGGTAGGGGTGAGGCTGTCTCAGCAGCAGACACATTCTCATCTACAATCTGATCTTTTAACATCTTATTTTATTTTTGGAGGCTCAGAGTTATGCATTAAGTTATTGTATTTCATTCAGTATTTGTGGTCATTTTGGAAAGACCAGAACTATTTTGGGACTTTTTATTTTACAGTTTGTTTAAGACATAATGTGAAAACATATGGTTGTCATACAGAAAGAGCCACAAATATCTCAAATGATACAGTTCACAAAGTGGCAAAGGAAAACTTTCATCCACTGAAAAACATCTTTGTTATCCAGGAAACCATGACTGCACCCGAACTCAACGACTATCTGAAGATTTTCAGGTAAAACTTATTATGTGTATGACCATCTGCGAAAGACATGTCCAATATAACAATCTGTGCTTCTGTCTTTATTAAATTACAAAAAGGATTAGTTTATGATTTTTACTTTTTCACACCCATGTTGATAGTTCTGTTGAAACTGAGCCATGTGATTGTTTCAGGCCCAAGAGACTGACACTGAAGGGATATAAGCAATACTGGTTCAAGTTCCAGGATACCTCAATCTGTTATTTCAAGAGCAAAGAGGAGAGCATCGGAGAGCCCATTCAACAGATTAACCTCAAAGGTACTGAAAGTATTACTTTATGATCATATATTCAGGATGAAGAGAAAGAGCAGTCAATCTTTTGATTTACAGCTGTGTGGCATCACTGCATGCTACAGTATGATATAAAGACTACAGAGTTAAAAAAAAAAAAGGTGTGAGTGCTATACTCTCCAGTTTCTTGCCAAATCAATTAGATTAGTACGATGAACCGAGATCCTGGGCTAAAATACAGGAAATGAACAGTTAGCATGAATCAGTGTTCATGGAAGTCTAAATCTGTGTTTTGTCTTTTACACCCATGTCTGATTTATTTTTTAAAGCTGATTTTTTTTGGGGCTTAACTGGATAGGACAGATATAAAGTGACCGGATTTGAAGGGAAGGAGAGTGGGTAATGAAATGCACCAAATAGCGTCAGGGTCAGGAGTTGGCCAGTGTGACGAGGGCTTTAGCCTCAGTACATGGGGCGCCTGCTCTACAAACTGAGCCACACTGGCATCCCCATGAAAGCTTGTTATGTCTAACCCATGAGTGTAAGATTACAGTGTTGTTAATAGTTGTCCTTTGCACAGGATGCGAGGTGGCTCCTGATGTGAACGTGGCAGCACAGAAGTTCCTCATTAGACTTCTGATTCCAGCTTCAGAGGGCATGAACGAGGTCTATCTACGCTGTGAAAACGTGAGGACACGCTCACACACATTTGTCCTCATCGGTGGATGTGACATGTTGTCAATACAATACCGTTCTCACTATCTCACCTCTCTCTCGCCCTCCAGGAGCAGCAGTATGCTCAGTGGATGGCGGCCTGTCGACTGGGCTCCAAAGGCAAAAGTCTGGCTGATAGCAGCTACCAGAGCGAGATCGAGAGCATCGGCTCCTTCCTAGCTATGCAAAAGACCAGCTCTGGTTCCCATGGTAACAGCCCTGCCAGTGATGAAAGCATCAATACTCACAGTCTGGTCTCACCACGCTACCATAAGAAGTACAAACCCAAACAGGTAGAGATAAATATACTGAATGTTATATCTAATATTTTCTGGATTTATTGATTCTTAACAAGCTGCATGACATTGGCCAACGTAGTAACTGAAACTGCCTAAGTCATCTGCAGCTGAGATTTCGGCTTACTTTTTCTCAAGGCAGCAAAATTATAATTACGCCTGACCTTTGACCCTGTGCCTGCTCCTCCAGCTGACCCCTCGTATCCTGGACGCGTACCAGAATGTGGCTCAGCTCTCTCTGACAGACGCAGTGATGCGTTTCCTGCAGATCTGGCAGGCCCTGCCTGACTTTGGCCTCTCTTACTTTGTTGTCAGGTGAACTTTTTAAGTCTAGTTTGAAGTTTGAAAGAATTAAATGCGTGCCAGCTGCAAAAAACTTGTGAGATGAAAATTACATTAACGGGTGTTTGATATGCAGTGTATATTAAAGTGAGTCTCACAAGTGTAGTAACATAGTGTATTAGAACTTTTTAGAACATAAAAGAACTCACTGGCAGTGTAACTTTTAAAAAACATAATTTCTGAATTTAAATCTTCATTTAAAGACAAGAAAAAGCCACACTAAAATTCATTATCCATCTATTAATCTATAATCAGAGGAATTTCTGGTGGTTGTGGAAACTCTTTTAATCAATCTTGCTGTGTGAATATGTGTGAAAAAACATGTAGCCCCTGTTCATATATTAAATCATTATTACGCATTATTATAAGGGCGGGGTAAAAACTCGTAAAGTGTTCTCCCTCAAGCATACAAGTGACTTTATTGTCCCAAAGAATTATGGGATTTGAGATTAATTGTTCTCAGGAAGGTCTCAGGAAGGTTTTAAAAGGCAGAAAGCTGAAGGTGTTTTTTGCCTGACAGGTTTAAGGGCAGTCGGAAAGACGAGGTTCTGGGCATTGCTCCCAACCGCCTGATCCGCATTGACCTGGGCGTGGGCGATGTGGTGAAGACCTGGCGCTACAACAACATGAAGCAGTGGAATGTCAACTGGGATATACGACAGGTGACACTGATGACTTTATACAACTTCCGTCCTACAGAAAATACAGCTCTGTGTACCTTGTCTTCCAGAATGTTGAACTGAATTAGGTAAAGGAGAATTTAAGGCAGGTATTTTATGAAAATATATCATCCTTAAACCATGCTGCTAGTGTAGGAGAGTGACCTCGGTTACACCATTTATAAAATGAAAAGCTTCAGTTCCAACAGTGCAGAGCTAAACTTTTAAAGAAGCCCTTAACATGATTGTTGTATTGTCACCAACTGGAACAATGTTCTACCTCCAAATTTAGCTTCCACTGTAAAAGTATCTCATACATTCTCTTCTTTGTGTTTCTTCTCTCCTAGATGGCCATAGAGTTTGAAGGAAACGTCAACATTGCTTTCAGCTGTGTGACAGCAGACTGCAAAATCGTTCACGAGTTCATCGGAGGTTACATTTTCATGTCGACACGCAGTCGTGAGAAGAGCGACACGCTCAATCAGGAGCTTTTCCACAAGCTGACCGGAGGCCACGAAGCCCTCTAAGACTGCGACATACAAATCCTCAACAGCCCACAACGATTCCCAGAGTGTCTGTACCGCGCCAAAGAGGATTGTATGCTCTATTCAGTCCACTTTGATTTTATATAATTATAATATGTTACACTCATACGCACTGTCAGTGGATCAGCTTTGCAGTGGATGGATGACAAAACATGTAAGGAAGGTTCAAGAATCATAAAAACTTCTCCTTTACTTCATAATGGACTGCTGCCGCCCCCACACCCTCTTTTCACTCAGATTAGAAAGTCTTGCTTTGTTTATAGCTGTAGTCTTATTGTCACTTAGAATCACTTTTTTTTTACACTCCTTGCACAGCAGCCAAGTTATCAAAGCCGATGATCAAACAAAGATGAAAATAAGAAAATCAAGCAAATATGAAATGTTTCCCAAATTAACATGAATAAACACCATTTATTGAAATTATACAGCTATTCCCTTTATTCCCCTCTCTGTTGTCATCCCTCCTTATGGTCCTTACATACGGTGCAAATCTGTTGTTACTTACACTGGAGGCTGTGTATCTCCCGTCATATGCTGTGTGTGTGTGTGTGTGTGTGTGCGTGTGCTTGTGCGTGTGTGTGTGTGTGGGTGTGTGGGTCCATATCTCAAAAGGAAACTGTTGAGGCAGCCTGTGAAGTTAACCACAGAGTCTGCATCCTCTGCTTTCAGTTACATGATTAACCCCACTTTGAATATATCCTTAAAAGTTCCTCAATGTTCAATTGAGGAACGGCCTGACGGCTTGTTACCAGCAGTCAGTCTGTTTTGTGTAACTAGGGTGGGATGATATATTTAACAACAGCTTTGAAAAATAATTGTGTTAATCTCTACAGCAATGATGATGCAAAGGGGGAAAAACACAATATAAATGAATAAATAAATACACGAAAAAAAAAGTGACATTGGCCAGGATTACATTGGTTAAAACTCCTTTATGGAGTATTTAGCTGATTAAGAAACAGACTACAATGAATACAGATGTCTCTATGTGACCTACAAAAGATAAATGAGAGCATCAGCATAGAGGTTGACTATTCTATACTGTAAATATTAATGCCAAAAAAAACAGCAACAGGCAGGTTGATTCTCCTTATGCTGAGCAAAAATCTGTGTTACCATGGGAACTAGTATAAGCATCAACCAACCACCGGATGTTGGAACAATCAGCTGCTTTGACCAAAGACAGAGCAGTATCCTCATCCGCTACTACAATGGTAGGATGCTCCCTGAAACACAGAACAAAAATAACATAAGTGAATGTGTTCTAACTTTTAAAATAAATTCATTTAAATGTTTAATAGTTTTTCTTACTTGTAGGCTTTAGTCTTACGGCACGGCTGAAGTATTTTGGGAGAAGTTTTCCCTCTGTGTTGCCTGCAGTCAGCAACACACCATTTTCTGACCAGAAGAACTCAATACCATCTGTACAGTGAGGAACACACATATATCCAAGAGGTTCCTGGTAGACTTAACGTTAAATTCAGATTCAAATCTATGAGATATTGACCTTACCAGCAAGAGCTTTAGGGACATCAATATACACAGCAAGATCACAGTCTCTCCTCATGCCTGGGGGTGAAAAATGAAACTGTAGAACCTATTTTACTAAATGCTCAGCTGACAGCAAACAAACACAGCTTACCACTGATGACTCCATCTTCCCCTGGCAGGCCAGGAGCCAGGTGGATGTGTGTCCTCTGCATGCGGCTCAGGCCCTGCTGCTTGATGGAGTTCCAGTTGCGGAGGTAGGAGCCATGCACTGCCTCAGCAGGGCAGTCTGGAGAGCCAGCCAGAATGGGTTTCAGCTCTAAATCCACTACCTGAACACAAGGATAAAAAAATCTGCATTTACATGACATTTAAGCGGATACACTGAAGTGTTTCAGCAAGAGTTCTGAAACACAGTAACAAACTGTCCTTCTGGTTAGGAAAATAAAAGTGGGATGCACAAAAGTTGCTACTCTTATTATGAAGACCTTGTTCTTAACTCTGAGGGAAAGATAGGCAAAAAAAACTGAGGATAGGACCTTTATAGAAGGTCATAGACCACTTGTATATATGTTGTATTTTGCTTCTTTGTCTATTTTTGAAGCAAATGCATCTGTAATTGATTAAAGGAGAATAGAATAGTAAAGGAAACACAATGGAAGATGAAGATCTGTTTAAGCAGAAGAGCCTGGGCTATTCCCATATGTATTGTTGCACTGATTACACTTCACTGAGATGATACAAATTCAATTTCATCACAAATTGATTTTCTGAGGACTTACAGCCAGTCACCTGAAACAAAAATTGAAACGGATGTTTTCAAGGTAAAAATGTTTTCATTACATTTGTATTTATTTGTAAATGATGTATGATAGCTTTATTCAACATGCTGTTCATTTGTCCATCTACTTTTAAACCCTCAAATGTAAAATCTATGTAAATACAAAATTGATTGCAAATCCTGCACAGTTCATCTAATATTGCAGGGATTATGCTAAATGCTCCTTTTAAATCCGTCATGAATCTGACAGTATATCAGTCCTAGATTAGGTAACAGACACACACACACAGTCTATGCATTCTCTAGATCCCTTTTTGTGGCTGTAGAGAGCAAGAAGTATACAAGTAACACATGACTTTTTCCTTTATGCAGATCCACTGAAAAAAGAAAAGAAGCATCCATTCGATTCTATTTTATTAGGGCCCGAAGCACTGACAAATGCGTAGGACCCTATTGTAATGCAAGGAATTATTCTTTTTCTTGTTCAATTGTAAAACTATAAACAGGTTACAAATATATAACCAGACAGATAATATATCCTAGGGTTGTGGTTTGTCTAAAATAGATTCCCCCTTCTTGTTGCCTATTGCTGATGTCTTTGGGGTTCTTCTTAGAAAATAGAGGCTACTTATATGAGATTTGCTTCTTTGCATACCTGTACTGAATGGCCCTGGCTTGCTCGGATCTGCAGGCGACCATCCTCTGGGTGGGGACGAAGCTTAAAGCGCTGTTTGTCGTTTGTTGCCACGACTCTTTGTACATCTTCCAGTGAGTATGAGCGAAACTGTGGGTTAGCGAGGAGTTCCTCCACAAACAGAAAGCCATCTATGAGAATAACAGTTGTAAAGGTTAGTGTGCATGTCTTCAAACATATAAAGTGAAAGAGAATACAGCTGTTGGTGTTATGAATAATTCATTGCATTTAAAGAGACACACACACCAAAACAGAGTGTTCTGACAGAGCTGGTTTATACAGGGTCACAAACCTCCTCTGGTGCTTGATTCATGTTATATTTTGACCAAAGAACAGCGCAGATGTTTCATTTAGACCACAGGTGACTGCTTGAAAAGGTAGAAAAGGGGTATAATATGCCCTCTTTAACACCTAAGTAATTTTTAAGTATTTCGATTGTGGCTTTAAAAGTAACTTTAAAGAATTTACTAACATGGTTGCTGTTTGTGTGTGCATCTCACACATTCCAATACCTACAATAAAACAGAATTGTCATACATGTTGAGCAACGAGTGTACAAACATATTATTTAAATATTCAAATGTAGACTTATTCACAAGAAAGAATTAAAAAAAACTGTGATATAGTTAATATGTGTAACATTGAAGGCAAGTATTTAGATGAATAAACATGTATACAATTATTCAGATCTGTCACACAACTAAAAAAAGTAAAATAATCTGTTACAAGAAACGAACTGCCTTCAATTCATTTGCAAAAGATTCTTATTTTATTAATTATTATAATTGGAAAAAAGAAGAATATTTTCCTATGAAATGTGAGAGAACAGAATATGGGGGGGTGCTCAAGCAAAGTACTAGTTCCTCAAAACTATTCTTTAAAAATAATATACATATTGTTTTTATTATTATAAACTAAATATATGCTTAATTCTTGCTATAATTTCATGCTTTGCATCAAAGTTGTGTCAGAGACAGCACTAGTAAAAGGAAAGTATGCAGGTCTCATTGTTGGGATATTTTAAGAAACTCACCTGTACCCATTTGAAGACCCATCTGGTTGGCTCCATGGCGAAGAGCATAAGACATGGATTTAGACAGGCGGACATCTTTGTCCTGGAAGGGGAGAAGGCAATACTCAAGACAGACTGATAGACACCCACACCCACACACACACACACACACACACACACACACACACACACACACACACACACACACACACACACACAACACACACACACACACACACACACACACACACACACACAGTGCTAATTATGGCTCTGGTTTAAATATACTCTATATTTAAACATGTCATGCCCTATGTTATATAGGACATTCATGTTTAACATTCCAAAACATTTGTGCAGCTTCATTGACAGCATAGATAGAGTGTAATAATAAGTCTCTGAATTTATAATAGACAGCAGGCAAAATCCCATTTCATAGGGTTCCAGTTTCATACCTCTCCACCATGATTTCCATGCCCTCCTCTCCCTCTCCCTCTCCTTCTCCCTCTCCCTCCTCTGTCGTCATCCATTTTAACGCAGACAGTCACAGATGATTTTAAAGCTATCGTGCCATTAAAGGTATTGATGAAAATTCACGAGATCTCACTTGTTTTGGTCATGACACTCTTGTCAAACATGCATTTCCTGATAGTTCTAGCTTTCCGCATGTAGGCGGCGCTGTGCGGGGTGCGACAGTCTGATTGTACCAAAGAGGAAAAGCCGCCTGGAAGAAAACCATCGTCATGGGTAATGAAGTTGCAGACAAGATTGCAAAATCAGCTTTAAATGGAATTAATACAGATGTGAATGTTCCATTTGGAGAAGCTGAATACAGAAGTAGAATTTTTCCGCATGTAGGCGGCGCTGTGGCGGGGTGCGACAGTCTGATTGTACCAAAGAGGAAAAGCCGCCTGGAAGAAAACCATCGTCATGGGTAATGAAGTTGCAGACAAGATTGCAAAATCAGCTTTAAATGGAATTAATACAGATGTGAATGTTCCATTTGGAGAAGCTGAATACAGAAGTAGAATTGAAGAAGGTCTTGAGCAAGAGTGGCAAGAAACTTGGGAGAAGGAAAAAAGAGGAAGACATGATTTTAATCAGTGGATTGTGTGAATGTGGGAAGTCCTGAAACAGTTACACACATATTATTACAATGTAAAAATGACACCTTACAGAGAAAAGGCATTATTCAAAAGAGTGTCTGACTCTCTGTTGAATCTCCATCGATAAAGGAATGGTTTAACTATTTTAGAGACATCTCTCTTATTGAAAGATCATTAGCTGTAATTCATAAGGCACGTGCATCCACTTTACATGCTTGGGATTTCCTTATTTCAACTCTTTCAGATCCACTTTTTCTGGAACAAATATAACCGGTATTATAAACAAAACCTAAACTTACACTTTTTGTGAAATTGTTTGGTTGAATTACTATTATTTTTTAAAATCTGTTTATTTGTTTTCGTTTTATTTATTGTGCTGTGTCTATAGGTTTTATTTTGTGTGCACGTGTGTATGGGTATATATATATATATATATATATATATATATATATACGTGTGTGTGTGTGTGTACATGCATATCATAATTTCATTCAGTAATTTTGTCTTTGTTTTATATTTTATGTATATTTTTCCTCATCAAGGCAACGGTGATCTGTAAATAGTTTGTATGTTTGATGATGCTGTCTTTGGTTTCTGTCATTGAAGCTCATGTGTTTAAGCATCTTGTGTAAAATTTCAATAAAAGTTGATCACAAAAAAAAAAAAAGATTGTCTGACGTGGGGATAACTTGTTTTTCAGTTAAAACATTGCTTGGCCAATATGAGAACCACCACTTAATTTTTTTTTACATGCTACAAAATTGTTTTCAAGAATCTAAAGTTATGCTTTGTAGAATGACTTAGTTCCCGTCTCTACCTGTGGAGGGCAGTAAAACGCCTAGATGCGTCTAAAACTGCAGGAAAAATTACAAGAAGAAGAAGAAGAATAAGGAAAACATCACAGACAGCAGCAGGGTAAGAAAATATCCGTTATATCCTCTCCAAATATGATTTTTTTTTTCAGCTCAGACATGGCAATGGCTGTTCATGATTAGCTTACAACTCTTGCGCTTGAACTCTCGGTTTTGTAGTTTTACACAGAAGCTGGGATAACTGGTGTTAGCATATTTGAACTCGAGCTGCTTCATTTTCCTGCGAGAAAACTTCGGCACAAAGGGAAAAAAAATAGGTTATTTTATTTATTTATATATCATCTGGTTAGTCATATTTGTTTTCACTTGCATGGTCGTGTCTGTCTTCTTAGTATTGGCGTCTGAAATTATTATTATGACTTATTATTCAAAGCTGCTCGCCGACTGTAGAATCCGGGCTGGTCACCATGGAGACAGTAAATTAGACACAAGAGACCGTAAGCTACCTTCCCTGAGTGTCCAGGTATTTTAGATAAAACACTTAATCCAGTCGAATGACTAACCAGAAGAAGAAAAGGTGATAATGTGCCCAATAATTGGAGAAACATGTTAAAGTAACATCTAGGGAGTCTTTCCAGTGGATAAAATGTAATAAAATACCCAGTTTGTTATTTTTCTCTTATTGTCTGTTGTTCAGGTGATGGAGTTCCCTCAGCATTCACAGCAGCTGCTGTCAGCTCTGCGGTCCCAGCGCCAGCGGGGCTTCCTCTGTGACTGCACTGTCGCGGTGGGCTCATCTCGTTTCCTGGCTCACAAGGCAGTTTTGGCCTCCTGCTCGCCTTTCTTCCACATGTTCTACTCAGACTCTCCAGGGGTCAGTGTCGGGAACAACAGCAGCAGCAGCAGCAGCAGCAGCAGCAGCTCTGTCACACTTGACAGCGACATCGTCACTGCTGCTGCTTTTGGCTTGCTCTTGGACTTTGTCTATGAGGGTGTGCTGCAGCTGAATGAGTCTCCACCAGTGGAGGATGTACTGGCTGCTGCAAGTTTTCTGCACATGAACGAGGTGGTGAGAGTATGCAAGAGACGACTGCAGAGACGAGGGCCTCTGGCTGAGGCAGACAGCACCCGCTCAGAGGAGAGTACCGGAGCTAGGAGGGCCACAGAGACAGGGAGGCAGGGTGGGGGGGATGGTGGTGCTGGGCCAATGCTTGCTATGGCAGATCACTTGAATCAAGTAGCAACTATAGCATCACTCTCATCAGCAACCACAGCAGAGAAGAATCAGCTGGAGGCTGTGAAGTCTGAGGAGAGGACAGCTGAGGAGTTTTACAAGTCAAGAGCTCAGACTCCTCTGAGCCCAAACCTAGCTGATACCACACAGCCTGGCATGGATGTAATTCTTCTGCCCCAGAGCGGAGAGCTGGTGCCTGGCCGGTCTGATCCTGTCTCAGGAGGTCATGTGAGGTTAAGGCATGGAGGTCAGGGTGAGGGGTCGGCACTTTGCAGTCCATGCAGCTCTACAGAATCCTACAGGTACAGGGCTGTTGTGACTTTCTCAACTATTTAATATGCTCTCATATCACCTAGCCTAAGGGCACAGTAATATCTAGGTCCATGTCAAACTTCACTGAGAATATGGTATATAAACTGAAAATTATGCTTAACATTTTGATACATATTATTTCATTGTATGAATGTTAATGACCACTTCAACATATTTTTTTTTGTTTCTCCATGTACTAACAAAAATCATTATGCTTAAAGGCGTAGTCAGTTGCACTGTTCGTTGAAGCTTGTAAACACAACATTGAATGTTTGAACCCAGTGAACCCCCTGAAGCACACAATTACCTGCAGACTAAAACAAGCTAACAGTTTGGTTCTTGCCTGTCCATCAGAAAACTGGCAAACACCGCGGGGGAAAGCCAGCCTAAGGTTTACTTTGTAACAAACTTTATGTGCTGTGCATTTGACCTCACTATGATTGTTATTGTCTCTACGTCTGCAGACGTCCAGCATATTCGCTGGGTTGAATCACTTGAGGACAGGGTCTCTGCAAACACAGTCATAATGAATAATAAATAATGTTTTTTTTCTGCTTATTTTACACAGTGGTAACCAGCAGCCCTCCTCATCCTCTTCCTCCCTGGTGGCACTGAGCCATGCTAGAGGTCGGTCAGTGGTTGCTCTTTCAAATTCAGAATCAAGCCTCTGCTCCAGCCCCCTTCAGCAAGGCACACAAAGACTACCCAGTGATGACTCTGTTTGGAACCCCTCAGAGTGTGACCTCAGAGCTGCATCAGGTGGAGGACAGCAGATAGTCATGTTAATCCAAACACCAGCAGGAACTTCACACAGAGAAACAAACCCTAAACACACACAATCGCAGAGCGAGTTTCCTCAGATCCGAATCCAGAGTGCTGTGTCGCTCCAACACCAAAGTTTGGACTTTCCCTCTGTTCAGACTCGAACTCTGAAGGGGCCTGAGCAGCATACAGGAGCTTATCCCATAGTTAGAAAAGAGACATCATATAATGATGAAGTGAGGACAGATGATAAAGATGAGGAGAATGTGAAAATCAAAGTGGAGGCCATTGTTATATCTGACGAGGAGCTAGAGGAAGAAACAGAGGAGAGCAGAGAGAGAGAAGAAGTGATGGATGTAGATGATGAGTTTGAAGATGAAGTCCAGGATGAGGACCTGAACAATCCCCAGTTTCCTTCCTCCCACCCACAGGGCCTCTTACACATGACCGCCCAATCCAATGACTTTTCCTACCCACTCTCTCCCTCCTCCTCCTCATCAGGCGCTGGCCCCTCCTCCCAGGACACTTCCTCCTTCCCGGCCTCCAACCATCCTCCACCCACAGCGCCGAATCAGTCAGACCCTCCTGGCTATTTCCAGGACTTCCAGGACACTATGGAGAATTTTGCAGAAGATGTCCCCACATGTGAAGCCTGTGGAAAGACATTCTCGTGTACATACACACTAAGGCGCCACGCCATTGTGCACACACGTGCACGTCCTTATGAGTGTCACTACTGCTACCGGAGCTACACACAATCTGGCGACCTGTACCGGCACATTCGCAAAGCTCACGATCGCTCACTGCGCACCAAACGCACTAAGGTCGACAATGAGATCTTAGAGCCTCCACAACCTCCACCGCCACCACCAATACCACCTCTCCTGTAACACACATAACACAACTGTATTTATACTCTTCCTCACACGTACCTACAGTTCAACCTTAGTATCTGAACTTTAATCCAGTGGATAGCAACAAAATGTTCTTAATTTCAAGCTTAACTCAAACCTTCCGGCTTTCTATCCAAATATTGTCATTTATTTTTATAAACCCGAACAAGCCCCTGCTTTCTTTTATACTGAGGAAATTTGCTACCCATTATTACAGAAATAGAAGACGCACAGTCTTGCACACATACAGTCTGATGTGAAATCAGTTTTGCTTTAGAAGGTAAATGAGTAGTATGGGAAAATATTTCAGTATGGGAAAATATTTCAGTGGCAAGCCAAAAAAAGAGCTGGTTCAATTATCTAAATACGAAGGAAAAAAGCTTATAGCCTTGATCTTATCTCCTTGAGTATAAAAATATAATAGACATTCCTTTATAAAGTTACTATTATTTTTCCCAGGTTGTAGACATAGGTCTGTATGTACAGTATATTGACTGTAGAGCACACTGGGCATGATGCACATACACATCTGTATGGATATAAAAAAAGAGGAAGACTGTCATTGTTTATAGAAGATTTTGGAGTTGTCCAAAAGACTGAAACAAACTAAACCTAGCATCTGCCAAATGGACTTAAGAGGTGAAAACAGTAATCTTAATTTATACAACTGCTTTTTCAGTGTGTGACTGTACCAGCACAGTTTGAGTGAACGTAAATGTAGTTTTTTTTATGTCTAGAGATGTATTAACAGGATGAAAACATCAGAGCTAAGAAGACAATTTCGGCAATTCTAAAATCACAATAAGACAGTGCCATATGAAAGTATTTTAATCGACTCTCATTGTATCAGTTTTTAATTAAGCCAATACTTCCTAGCAGGTATTTACAGTTTATTTGATGCAGTAAGAATCTACTTTTCCAAATGGCCTTTAATTTTCATCTTTGTTCTTCATGTCCTTCATCCTCCACACATTTTCTACAACAGGCAGTACGTTGTCTTCAATTGATAGAGTCTTATAAAGGGCAAATAACATGCAATTATGAAAGTGGCTATTCACAGATACAACATAAGACAACCAACCTCTGTGTTTCCAGAGCCTGGAGGGATTGTATGCAGCAGCATAATGTCAGTGTGGTTTTCTTGACTGAACTTCTGAATTTACGCAATATTTCATAGATTTTGTCTGACATTTTCCATCAGGGTCAAATGATCGTTTTTAGACTAGAGGTTAAATTGTGTAACTATTTAACTTTCTGCCTAGATTTACATGTAGTGTTTCTGAGGAAGTGAGGGAGGAGGAGTGAATTTTGCAATCCACCCTTAATGTGTTTGGCTTTGCTTGTTGCACTTGTGACCTTTCCCTTAGCAGTGTGACAGAATATACAGAAGGAGCACACTTTGACCTGTGACTTAACACCATTTTCTTCTTAAATGTTTAAATTAAATATTTAATGTGCCTCAATGACTGTGTGACAATTTGGGAATTAATCGTTTTATCATTTTAAATGTTAGTTTCTGTATGAGATCAATTAGTATGTACTCGTATAACCAAGCTGAACCACAAATTTTACACCTGGATACTGATAAGGGAACACTGGATTGGTGATCATTTGGACATTTTAGACTGTGTGCAAAACTAAATGTCGCCCTGTGATTAAACACAATTCCACAGAAATGATGTGTAAATATTGTGATGTATATTTGGGTAACACAATGCAGGGGGTGGCAAGTCAACAACATATCTTTGTTTTCTTTATTTTACTAAAGAAGAACATGGCATACAAAAATATAAACGTTACATCTGTATGTAACACAGAACTGGCTAGGATCTCTTCAGTGTTCTCACTGATTGTAGCCAGTAACAAGCAAACTGAACACTTCATTTGTAACATGCAGAGGTGACACCAACCTGCCACCTCTTAGTGAGTCTCTCTTTAGTCCTCCAATGGCCCGTGGATCTGTGAAGATACAAAATGTCAGTGTCTTCTACAGGTCCAGCTGCTACTCGATCCTTTTATTGGAAAGCACATGACATTGACTGCTGTCAGGTGTATGATACATAAGAAGGTTCCACCACATTGATCTTACAGCAAATTTGCAACCAGGAATCAAATATGAATACAACAAAATGTGTAGACATGTCATACAGACTATCAGCATGACGAATCAGTCCTGACTGAAGACACAAGCCTAGTCATTAGTCATCGGGGTACGGTATTATTTTAACAGGACTCATGACAGAAACAAATATTTTTATTATTTATTTCAAATTTTTGCTTTGCCAATTAGTATTTGTTACTCATACACTATGAGAAAAAGCAACACTGATCATGTTTAAATCAGAGTGGAAGACTGAAAATATTGAATGTCTTTAATTATTGGTTGTGATTGGGAGAACCCCACTGAGATGTAACAACTTTAGTGGGGTCTTAACATGCTATACGCCACAATCCTTACATTATAACAGATGAGTGTCAAATATATCATAGAAATACAACTGTGAATACAGCAACGGACTGAAAAACTCAAGACTAACTACATATAGAAATGAATCATAACACTGAAGGCATGTGGTCTATATTCATTATACAGTAAGGTAGAAGGAATAAACAGTAGGAATACAAGTTAAACATTTATACATTAATAGAACCAGTAGTATGACCTAAAAAGTTGTTCAGCTGTTATATTCATTTAGATCACCTCTCCACTAAAGTCTACTCATGATTATCTTATTCAATATATCAAAATAAACAACTCCTTCATGACACCTGTGACTCTTGCCTTTCTAAAGAAAGCTTTAAAAGGACCTACCGCCTCAGCCAACTCTGGCCAATCCATTGCCATCACAACTGTGTCATCGGAGTTTGGAGGTGTCTCCAGGTTCCAGTAGGTTAACTTGTCAAAAACAGATGACAACTTCACCGTCCTGTCCTGAACACACAAACACACATAGCTTAGCCTCTCATAGTCCACACAAATGCTTTGCCGTTTTGTTTTGCTGACCCTGACTGGCTGTGCTCAGAGTTGATAGTTATTGTGATTGTGAAGATGACTTCTGTGGTGTTTACCTCTTGGTCAGAGCCAGGTTTGTTGATCTCTTTCAGAACTAAGCCGGTGAAACCCTGTGGACAGCTGAGCTCCTGCCCCTTCAACCTGCGTCCTCTGAATGACACTGTCTTCTCTGTGGTGGGATATAAATGCACAAATGACTGATTTCCTTTTGTCTGGAAAAAATACTGTGGGAGAAAACATAAGAGACACCATTTTATTTTTTATTTTTTATTGGAGGGGGTTTTTATAAACTTAAAACTGAATATGTTACAATTAAGTCTGCTGGTAGAGAGGCTTCAACATTTACAAAAACAAACACACAAAAAACCTATTTAAAGGGCGGCTATGGCTCAGTTGGTAGGTCGTCGCCTCTCGACCGAAAGGTTGAGGGTTCGATCCCTGAGCTGAGCAACATGTCCGATGTGTCCTCGGGCAAGACACTTAACCCCGCATTGCTCCCGCTGCTACTGTGGCGGTGTATGAACGGATTAGTGTTGTACCTACTCTATGATGTAAGTCGCTTTGGATAAAAGCGTCTGCTAAGTGAATCGTAACACAAAGCATACCTTGTTTGCTGTTTTTTGTGGTAGCAGTCAAATATTGTGAGACCTGAGCCGGCCCCTCGTGTTCAATCTCACAGGGCATCAGGTGGACAGGGACTCTCGGTGCCTGGCCCACAGGTGATTTAAGTTGAACTCTGGTTACACTGGCGTTACAGGACATCCTGCAAGCAGAGGACAGAAGAGGACACATGCTTTAAAACAAAACAAAAACAACAATAACAAAAAAACACTTCAATTCTATGAAGATCTGATATTTACTACACAGTGACGGTGACTGTCAGCCTAGAATGTTTTAGACATCTCAGATCAATAATTAAGTGCTGAATTCACTGTCTGTAGGATTATCTTCTACCACTGATGTTAGTCACTTGACATGACAGTGCAGACACTTGTTGACATGAATAATGACTATACATTTGGAGGACGTCTTCAACATTGTTTGCATTATTTTCTCAAAAGCTTTTTATTGCTTTTCTTGTCATGGTGAAGTTTGGAAGCTTTTTATTACATATGCACACTATCCCTAAAGTACGACGCATGCCTTCTTCGTCGTACACTGTTCACTATGAACGTGTTTTCAGAAGGTAAACATTTCGTAAAATAATAAACATTTATTTAAAAAAACCACAAGAACCACATTACCTCTCAGTTGTTCCCAACGCTTGAAAGAAATGATAAACTGTAACCTTTTCCGCTTAGCGCCAGTCGCTGCTTGATGATTGGATGAACGCTTCTTCTTCTTCTTCCTCATGAAAACATGTATTGGCGGGTATGTTCAGCTCTGTCAGACGATACCGCCCTCTTTGGCGAGGAATTAATGTTCCTTATTTAAAACATTTTTAGTTTTTTTTTTTTAGTTTTTCACACGAGGACGTTTTGATTTTTTGCTAATTTGGTTTGATTTTTAAAGGAGCCTCTGAAGTCCCAAAAGGTAATAAAATATATTTTGCGCACCAACATAGCCTAATAACTTTTTTTGTTTTTTAGCCACAATGGGAAAAAAAAGAAAAAGACTATTAACTAGGCGTAATCAAACATATTCAAAAAAACATAATACATAAATAAAAGTATTGGTTAGGCTTTGAATTTGCAAAATGTTTGAATAAACTTTAATTCTAAACTGTCATTGATGTCAGTCTGTCTATAAAATCAATAAAAAATATTAATCAAAATCAAATAATATAGGTTTTTTTTCTGAAATGCTCCCCTTTTTTTGCCTAAATTTAAACATAGCATTGTCTGCATAGGAAATACTACTTTCAAGCTTCTGCCCTTGTTTTTAGAGTAATGTTGAACACTGTTCCAGCTGGCTGCAGCATCTGTCTTTTGTGTGGGAAGGACCAAATCCTGTCCAATGGCAGCTGAGTAAGGAGCTAAGGCCCAGTTGTGTTTTAAACACTGCAGTGAGAAGAAGAAGAAAGTGTCAGGCTGTGGACTAAGAGACTTAAGGGAAAGCAGAAGTGGTTTCCTAATAGCTCATATTTGGCCAATAGAAACCAGAGGTGAGTTGTTGTTTTTAAATGCCTACATGTCTATGGCAGACATGTTGCTGTTGGATGCTTGTTTTATTTCAGAAAATTTTTGTATACACACCTTGAAGTATTTTAAGAGCAAGCCAAAAGAAATCAATGACAACAACTGCTTCTGTTTAATTTGTTGGTACCTTACAATAAATATCTCAAATCTTGAATCCTGATTACTCAGTCAGACGAAAACAAACTGCTGCCTTTCTTTGGTTGCTTCTTTGGCAACATGTGCACAGTCAGATCAGTGGGCTATTGACACAATGTGGAGTCATCTGACATGACCAGTCTCTGCTTGTGACTGAGATTGGTCTCAGTGGTTTTTGCTGCTCGTAATACTATCAGTGGTTCTTGTGTCTTTGGCTATGAGATCATAATATCATTAACCATTCTGGATTTAATGACTTCAAGCAGACAAGGCCTTGTCCTATATTTTTTCCATTATAAAGAATCATTCAACCTATTTGATACATTTAGCCACAGGCTTTTTAGATATTAGCCAATCAGAGTCATGATGATTCCTATCTTTTCTGTGTTTTTCAAGCTGTTCCAAGAAACCCTCTGCTTATCTGTATTTCAATAAGTCCTAATTGTTTATTACTGTCTATGGTTTATAGTTTATGGATGAAGACAGTCGTTTTCATTCAGGAGACGATGGAGAACCGTCTTTCTTCATTGGACAGGTGATGAGGAAGCTCCTACGTGCTGTCATCATGATGACAAAACGTATCCGCCTGAGAATTCTGCAGATCATTGTTGTGGTCTTTGTGGTCTTCCTGCTCCTCTGGATCGCCGCCTTTCTTTATGGGAGCTTCTATTACTCTTACATGCCCCAGGCAGCTTTTTCCACAGCTGTGCACTATTACTACAGGTGTGTATGTAAAAGTCCTGTCAAGCTGCATCCCACTTTAGTTTTTCTGTGTCTTGAATTCCTTCTTGCATGATTTAATTCAGTCATTCATGTTTTTGTTTGCAGGACAGACTGTGAATCTCCTGCCTCTTTTTCGTGCTCTTATCCAGTGGCCAACATCTCTCTGATGAGGAACAACAGACATGTAAGTGTGAACGTAAGTCAGAGTTTTTATTTGTGCCTATATCTATGAGTCATCATTCTAAAATGCACATCCAGGTGATGACTTTCGGCCAGGCCTACACGATCTCTCTGCAGCTTGACATGCCTGATTCTCCGGTCAATCAGGAGCTGGGGATGTTCATGATCAAGACAGCCTGTTTCTCTCGGGATGGAGAGCAAACTGCCTCTTCTGCTCGCTCTGTAAGTTGCACTAAGATTGGTCCTGCTCCACTTCCTCTTTGGCTACATGTGTGCAAACAATCACAAGTGTTTTTAGCTAGTTCTCACACACTCCTCTGATTTACTGTTGCTTTGCTCTGTGTTTCTCAGACAAGACAACTGCTGTCTGCCTCCAGCTCTCGCTTTGTGAGTACAGCGCTAATGCACAACAACCTTTTAATCACACAGACTGGTTCAGAGATACACTAAAGCTGCTTAGGCTTGCTGCAGAGCTCCACTGTCACAGGAGGTGAACTCAGGGCTCAGGTGACTGAGGTGACACTAAGGCCATGTGAATAAATGACAGAAAAAATATTGAGGGGACAACAAAAGCTAATCCAGTAGATTTACAAATTCAGGGGAGGCCATCATTTACTTTACATTCCTAAGCCAGGAGTCATAATGAATCATGTAACAACAATTTGGAACATCATTAATCAATCACTGAGATATGCAAAAGGTAGAACTGAACACCCATGACAGCATCAATCATCCTTACCTAAATATTCATCATGACATCATCATGATAACATCTTTTTAGCATGTGTCCTCAAACACCTGTAAGGAAAGAGCACAATGGCAGAATGTATGAAAATAAAAAAGATCTTCCACCTCTGTGTTTCTCTTGTGTTGTGGTGCTTTGGTCAGAGCATGCTGCGTTACCGTTCAGACCTGCTGAAGCAGCTGGCGACTCTTCTGTTCCTGCCAGCCTTCCTGAGCGGAGTCAGTGAGCAGAAACAAGTGCTGGAGGTGGAGCTGTTCTCAGAGTACATCGATGACCCTGTATGTATCAAGCTGTATTTGAATTAGTGTGCTTAAAAAGTAATGTCAGTTTTTTTTTAAGGTCTCCTTAACAGGATGTTTCTTCATGTGTAGTATTCTCCATCGGTCACAGCCATTATTGAGATTCTGTCCAACAAGGTGCAGATCTACTCATCTCAGCTCCTCATTCATGCTCACTTCACTGGTATAAGGTAAGAGTCCCCGCCAAAGAATATACCTGCAAGAGATCTGACAGTATCATACTGTACAGGAAATGATAAAACATTACAAAAACACATTTGTAAAAAATATACATTTTTAAAACGTAGAAACAAATTGAGGCTGCAAAAGATCTCTGGGATACATGTGAAAATATGTACATTATAACATGTTGATATTTGTCCCAATTACTTTTAAAAATTGTGTTTTGGTGTCACCCAAAGGAGGAATACATGTAAATTATTCCTCCAACAGTATCTTCCTCAGACCAGATTTCAATAAAATACTACAAGACATATTTAGTTCGGGACAAACCCACTCACTGTTTGTGCCTTACAGTGCCCAGTGGAGTTCAGATTTGATCTGTGGGTTGGTCAAAGAAATATGGGAAAAGCACTTTTAAGTAAATCAGGGAATAAGTTGAGTTACATTGAATGCATCATTTCCTTATTGCATCATACTAACTGTTTTTTCCTTGTCAGATACTTATTGTTCAACTTCCCTCTCACATCGGCCTTGGTGGGCGTGTTTAGTAACTTCAGCTTCCTCAGCCTCCTCTTCATTCTCAGCTACCTGAGGCTTCTGTTTAAAGTGGACTTGAGACCAGAGCAGGTGAGGCTTGTTATACAAAAATCAGTGATTCGTCTTTGGCTTTAGGGCTGCACACCTTATACACTTGTGTTTAAATGAATAATGATCTCGAGTGTTTGCACTTAGACTCAAACAGCTGAGTGTTTGTTTTTCCTTATTTTACAGCGTAGAACTGGAGGACGACTCCCACAAAGAGAATACAACATGAGCAACAACCAGCAAAGGAGGGGAAGAGATGCTGCTGCAGGTACAAAAAAACATGCAAAGAGAATTTCTGTATAATTTGGGTAACTTGAATCTGTCATTTGGTGCTGACTGGAGGAATCATTTTTTTCCTATAGGTTCATCACAGTCGGTGGGGGCCTTCTAGATGACCCCGACATATTAGAGTCAGGAGGTCACAGAGATGCAGAACTGAAATATGCCTGGTCAGATCAAAATGAGTGAATCAGAGGCAGCCTGAGGCCACTAATAAAGCAGAGGGAGAAAGTGTAGAGTGTAAGGATGTTGATTTAAGAGAGTCAGAAGCATCTGTACACTGCCTAGACATGTTTGGTGATCACCTGAATGTAGATCTTACTCTGACATGCCTCCTGTGATTCCTCTCTCAACGTTGTTTCAATGTAAATGTCAAAGGACCTTACGATTTATGGGTAGAACATATCTGAACCTATTTTGTCAGTGTTTTTCAATAATTGTATGACTGAAATAAACAAGACAATGTCAGATAAAAAAGGTAATTCAGCATATACTGACAATATATGTAATGTAACCATGCAATTGTTTAGTAATATTTTGACTTTAAAATCCAAATAACTGTTTGTCCTGCTTCTTTTTACAATAGTACAGTGTTTACAGGTCTGTTTGATCTATTTCACATTCTTTCTTTTTATTTGACATTAGAAACATCCCCAACAATCACGCAAAAAGAATGTAAAAATGCTAAAAACATACCGACTGCATGCTGATCCTGTTTTCATTCAACTATGAAATGTAAGGTTGTGGAGCGATTTCATCTGTAAAAATGACTTCTATTGTGATCTAAATGCTACTTGCTTAGGTCAAATGTTTTTAGCCTTCTCCATCAGACTGTGAAAAAATGATTTAAACATGTAAGTGTGAATGTCTTTAATACTAAATGTATCATAATTTAAGTTTTAAGACTAAATGAATATTACTTTATCCCCTCTGAAGTGCATCCTGTTTAAATGTTGGAATAAAACCTATTAAGGGTTAATCAGATTGTTTGTGGAATATGTTGTGCAGTGGGAAGACACCTCTTTCAACAAAGTACGCACTCATATCAAGTGGGAGGACACCTTACTGCATTTCCAGAGTCTATCAAGCATAGGTGTCATTCCTGGATATCAGGTTGCCCTGCGGCTCTTCTTGCGGAATGAAGCTTTGGATATGTATTAACGTCACTGCATGCAAACTATAACAGCAGCAGTGAGTGCTGCAGCTCACTGACAGGCACTAAAAACTACCCGGTACAGGACACAGGTACGGTAGGGTGCAATTTGGTTTTATATTTCCTTTTGTGTAATTTCAAGACTACTGTTCGGGCTATTGAAGAGATACGTTTAGACTTCTTTATGCATTGTCTTCTCTTTTTCCTCTGTTTTGTACAAGCACGGGTGAAACTCATGGAGTTGATTCATACTCTGCTCCCAATACTGGACACTAAGATGGATGAAAACCACATGGAGGTAATAAAGATGGAGGTAGAAAACAGACTATCAGACGAGACGCACCAACATATGTCTATGGACGAGGGTCCTTCCAGCAGCAGCATGAGACTCAAGTTAAGAACCAGACCCAGACTCCAGTCGACCAAAAGTTTCCCCCCTTACAGTCAGTGCATAGGTGGACTCGGAGAGGATTCAGAGTGGGACAATGAGCCTGATTCAGAGACAAAAATAGCTTTCCAGCACTCGGACGCCAAGATGAGTGGAGATGAGGTAGTCCAGGAACGACAAAGAAAAGAGGACTTAAAGGAGTCAAACAGAAGATGTGCAAGAGCTGAAGTAAAGGCAAAATGGAGGACAAGAAGGAAGGAGAGATTAGGGGGCAGCTTTGAGGTTGATACAGACGGACGGCGGAGTGCAAGGTTGAGCGTGAGAAAAAGGATGGAGACTGAAGAGACTGAAGAAGACGGAGAGAGTGATGATCATGAGATGGAAGGAGGGGAGTGGAACCACTGTGGAGGAAGAGGGAGACAAGAAAAGGACGAGGAGAGGAATGGGCCTTCTGTTTCAGCTGTACAGGGAGAAGAAGAGGAGAGTGGGGAGACTCCAGAGGGGGAGGATGAACAGGCTGAGGAGCAGCCTGGAATCATAGGGGGCTCCACGTCTCATCAGTGGCCGTCCCCTCACCCTATCCTCTCTAAGCTTTTGCACTCCTCCTCCACCTCCCCCTGCTCCTCCATGAACCTCTCTTCAGCAGAGAGTGACGAGGTCTTCAGCGAGGGGGAGGAAGCCACCTCAAAAAGGAGAACGCTCAGGAAGGTGAGACTAACATAAACATTTTTTTTAATGTTTTCCATCATAATTATACGTGTGCATCCCACCTGTGCATGCGCCTGCTCTGGTTTTCCATGGAAGAAGAAACAAAACTGTTCTTTGCACCTGTGGTTTAGGTGATTTGCATGAGTTTGAAAGGGGACTTTGACAAGGTTGGATTTGAATTATGTTTGCATGCCATGCTGCTGCTGCTGCTGCTGCTGTAACAGATATGAGAGCAGACAGTAAAGGGGGGGACTATAGGGTGTATCATTTATAGTTCTGTTAAAAGAAAACAGACAATTTGTGACAAAAAACCGGATGAGAAAAACTTGCAATTTATGGGCTTAAGTCTTAAATATAATACGTCTTTACATTAAAAAATGTTTTCATTTAGAGACAGGGACACTTCCTGCTTGTCTTTGTTTTGTCTATGTTTTGCTGTGTTAACAGGTATCGTTGCGTCGCCCACATAGTACTGCTCTTGTCATGTCTCTCACTTGTTCTGCATCACCTAATAAACAAATGAAATACAAAAAAAGAGACAGGGACACATTGAGCATGCTCATGTCTCCATTAGCTTCTGTTGGGTTTTCTGTGTCCATACTTTTATCTGGTGGCTATTTTGTGTATATACAAAGCAGATCATAACTGTCAAGGTATATGCTGATTGCAAACAACAGATACACTAACAGTCATAACAGTTGTTGGAGTTTACACAGGACTGGGTAGTGTACTTTTACCCTACAGCGTCCCTAACATATGTCTTTCAATCGGATTATTTGATCAGGGGAGTGGTGAAACACTGGGACTTGGACAACAGCTCCTTTGACTTGTCACTGTGGGACGAACACAGTCACACTGTCATGACCTCCTGTTTCGTTTCTGTGTTGTTATTAAAGCCTTTGCCTTAACCTGCTTTGAGGACGGCTTGGTTAGGACTGGGACGGTGTTTCAGTAATCAAAATCACACAAGTCTGAACGTGTTGTTAGGACAACTGCTAAGTAGGGGCCCCGGATGGCCTAGCTGTTATATCGCGTTCCCCATGTACAGAGGCTATAGTCCTCATCGCAGCGGCTGTGGGTTCAAATCTGAACACAGACCCTTTACTGATTGTCATCCCCCACTCTCTCCTCCCAGCATGCTTCCTGTCTCTCTTCAACAGGCCCAAAAGATAACTTTGAAAATACAAACACAAAATGTCTGCTATGTATTGGCCTCTGGGAGAAACAGGATGAAGTTCCATTCCTAATTCACGTCCGATGTGAAAGGTCAGTAAAGAGTTTGAGGCAGCAGCGAAGTCCTATTTCAACCCTGTTTGCTGGCTGGTGCATTTCCTGCCTTAAACATGCAGGAGGAAATCCAGACATTCAGGTTTGGTGGATGGTTTTCAGGATCATTTAAGATTTAGAAAACAATGCATGCTGGGAGAAGGTCCTGTACCTGAACAACAATTAAATATGTGTGACAGGACATAATCTGCTTTCTTGTGTTTCTCAGTGCCGCTCCTGGAAAACTTACCTGACCATGATGCACTGGTCGCTGCAGCGGCAGAGCTCCTGGGTTCAGCTGGCTGGACATCAAGGCATGCTTGTTACAGTGTTTCAAACAAGACACATACATGCACTCAAGGTCCTGTGACTAAGTTTACAAATTCCTCCAAGAGACACCTCAACACTAAAATGCATTTACCTGCCATGCAGATCTTGATGCAGATCACGTTGCTGTTACAATGACTTATCTCTGTAGATTTGAATTTTCAGGAACTGAGACACTTTTATCTGATCATACATGCAAACATTTTGACTGTATTCAGTGTTTTTTCTGCACACCTCTGGAAGCTTTGTCCTGAAATGAGATGATATCCACTGTCAGCATAATGATTCCTTGCTATCAGCAGGTAACTTCCAGCTGAGTGAGGGTGGGGAGGTGTTGAAACTGTACAGTGAGGTGGAGGAGAGATGTCTGGACAGCCTGATGAGAGACACACTGAGACCCTTCGTCCCTCAGTACCACGGCTTGGTCACCAGAGGGGAGCATTGCTACATCCGCCTGGAAGACCTGCTGCGCGGCCTGAGGAGACCCGTCATCATGGACTGCAAGATGGGAGTGAGGTGGGTGAGAATTTTTTTTTTTTTTTTTTCAAAACAGGTGACCGATCTTTGGACTTAGTAGAAATCTGTGCTGACTATGTTGAACTCATTATATGTAAGCTATAAGAATGATCATCATTCTTACATAATAGCCTCGTATGGAGGTTATATATCAGTGTATATATGCCTAAACTTTTTTATTTACTTTTCATCCTCAATGAAAATATGACTAAAACAAATTGTTCGCCCAGTTTTCTATTTATATCCACCTTAAATGCAGCATTGTTACCCACATTTTCTTCATGGATTATATGAATTTTATCTTTTATCAAGATAATTGAATTTTATTTGACTTGAATTTTATCAAGTCCTGATGCTTAAAAAGGGATATGAATGCACCTTATGGAAATCTGTAGCTAAATTTCAACAAGTAAAACCTTTATTTCCTGATCATTATTTGTACTTTATGTTTATTTTCTTTAAAGACCAGTTTGTTCTGGTGTGACAATGACTACTAGAAATAGTCTCAGTTATCTGTGATGGATGTGAACTTCTGTACATCATGAGTTTCCTTCTCAGAACCTTTCAGGTGGAGGAACTTATCACAGCGCAGTCAAAGTCCTCCATGCGGAGTGACATGTACCAGAAGATGGTGAAAATTGACCCTTCAGCACCATCAGCAGAGGAACACGCACAGAAAGCAGTGACAAAGCTGCGATACCTTCAGTGGAGAGACACAACCAGCTCCTCGTCCACACTGGGCTTCAGGATAGAGGGCATCATGGTGGGAGAAGAGAACAGTTCAATCTCTGCACAACTAATGTTAACCAAAAATACCTAAATTGCTTTCAAATGCTCTTTTGTATCTTCCTGTGTGAGACAGATGGATGATGGCAGCATCCAACGCGACTTCAGAAACATTCGGACTTTGGCTCAGGCCACAGAGGCTCTGCTCTTCTTCACCAGAAGTCACCTGGACATCCTGGTCAGTTTTCTCTGTCATACAGGAACATGTAACACTATACCAATCCTCTGTTAGAAAACTACAAATCTAAAAAAAAATCTGCATCCAAATCTTTAAATTAGTGACTAAACCAAATAAACAAGGCTGATTTGCTTAAAATACTTTACATGAGTTTTAGATAACTGTCTAATTTGTTCATCTTTAGTTTTCTGTCCAGCTGCTGCTCTGTGGCTGAAAAGAAGAATCAGGCCTTATCGAGCCTCCGTTACACAACGAACACACTGATGCCTCTGTAGATATCTACGTGCAAAACAAAGCTTCCACAAATCTCTACATTGGAATTGTATTAAAAGGTGTTATAATAAAGATTTAATTAAACAGTAAAGCAAAAGCAAGAAAATAAGAAAACAGATACTGAAGTTTAGAAATAAAGCAAAATGGAGAAATACTTTTGCCCATTACATTAATATTCACTTCTTCCAAATCTTTCAACTGGCTTCCTGAAATGTGATCAATTGTTATACAGCATCTTTGATTTATCCCATTGGACTTCAAACCTTTCAAGCTTAGTGTTGTTGCTGAACCGTAACCACTCTGTGTTTTCAGAAAGCATACCACTCCAGACTCCTGGCCCTGAGCGAGGCACTGAAGAATTCACTGTTTTTCAGAACCCACGAGGTCTGTTTCCATGAAGTCACACATATTTTCATTATAATGCCACTTAACTTTGATTTGTTTTTTTTAAATATGGGAGCTACTTAAAAAACAGGAAAGCCTTACTTTTCATTCCTCTAACACATGGACATGTTTTTGACCTGATCAGGTGATTGGCAGCTCGCTTCTCTTTGTCCATGACCACAGCAGTAAGGCCAGCGTGTGGATGATAGACTTTGGGAAGACAACCCCAGTGCCCAACATGAGTCAGCTCTTGCACGACGTCCCGTGGGCCGAGGGGAGCAGAGAGGATGGCTACCTCATCGGTCTGACCTCTCTCATTGCTTCTCTGGGTCAGGCCATCAGTGTGGCCTCCTGGCAGCAGCAGGACGGCTGCGTGGGAGAAAAACATGTTGACCTGAAGTGTGCTGAGGATTGTGGTTAAATACCATGAACACTCACGGTCAGGTGGACAAAATGGCTGCTTTCACACTCTGAACTCTTGCCTCATTTCATTCAGCGAAAGAGACAACAGAGGATGATTCTGTTCATCGTAAAAGCATCGCCACAGACTTTTAGTGAAAAGAGCAAGAATATGACTCGGCTCAAATTCAGAGAATTGTGTTGTGGTCGTCTTGAAATTGTAAATACTGTTATTGTCATCACAAGTTCTTCTTGTTACAAGGACTGATATAAGAGAATGTTTTCCTTTTTATGTATTCCCTTTTTGTTGTAATTTCGAAGAAGGCTATATAAATATATATGATTGAACACCCTTTAAATTGTACCTGTTAAGAATCAGTCTTTTTGACTCATGAACAGACCATAAGATAAATATTCGATTCAGGAGAAAATATTATCAGGGGTTTAAATTATTTTCATATCACTCAGTTAGTATATTTTTGTCCAGATAACTGACTACATTCTCTAAATGATACTCAACAATGGGTAACAGACATGTTTACTTCAAATGGTGGAAAAAAAAGGGCAAAAACACATATAATTTTTTTATAAAATATTTTAAAAAAAAATTAAAACACTAATGTATTTCACACAATATAGACTCTTCCTAAACTGATGGTGATCCTTGAGCAGCTTTGATGTCGTTACAAACTCTTGCAGCCAAATATTGTTAAAACATACAAAGCCTTTCTAAGGTTTCTGAAGTTTTCTAAAATCATCAGATGTTTCAGGTTGAGTTTGGGGGTGAAAGTTAAGAAAGTGGTGCTCATGTGATCGTAGACAATAATGTTGAAGCAGCTGTAAAACATCATACAGCTTCAAACTATAGTTTTATTTTCTTTAATGGAGAGATAGGACAGTGGATAGAGTTTGAAATCAGGGAGAGAGAGTGGGGATTGACATGCAGGAAGGGAGCCATACATGGGACGCGCGCACTAACCACTGCGCCACCAGCAGCCCCACAGCTTCAACCTAGAACTGATAGAAGCTGACAAAAGATATTTGATATGCCAAAACAAGAAAAAGGTCATAGTCACGCATCAAATAGCCTACTTAGGCCTAGATTCATTTTAAAAAGACAGAGACTAAATCATGTAATATGTCTAAATTAACAGTAAGATACACCTACTGTGGCTAAGACTAATAAACCCTTTTATACAGTCTTTGTTCTCTTAGGTGTGTTGATTGTAAGAGTAATTTGAAGTGTTGTTTCTAAAATGTTGTTCTCCTCATTCAAACCAATGAATAGCCTATAGGCCTACAAAGGCAAATACACATCAATAAATTACACGACAAAATACAACAAAAAGGCGTATCAACTCATCTCAACGATAATATAGGTTAAAAAAAAAAAAGAGTAGCTTACACCAGCTAGAAAGTAGGCCGTATATTACCAGCTTGTAATGAGCTACTAGTAGAAGGGCAGAATCAATCTGTCCACCAGGTGGCGCCACTTTGTTGACGGAGATGGAGACAATGAGCGGGACAACTGACAACAACCGGGGACTTCAGTCAGTCGAAGGAGGAGGTATATGTTATTAAGAAAATATATTATCATGATACATTTTACCACGTTGAAATAATTCATCCGTAAACTGTGTCGTTTGTGAATCCAGCGCAGTGTTTGTATGCTGTGTTGTCTCGTCCTTGTGCTAACGACTCAAACTAACGCACTGCTCACAGATCATTGAAAGCTGTGAAAGTTGACTTGCATGTTCGCAGTTTGTTAAGCATGTGTCCCTCTTCTTTAGAATATATAATGATAGAAACAATTCTGATAGTGTCTCTAAAGGCTAAAACCGAAGGCTTTTTTTCCGGGATGGATCGTGTGACTGTGTGCCAGAGGAGCTACCCGAACCTAGCCGTAGTGACACGTGTGTTGAGTCAAGGTATGTTAACGACCCTTACAGCATCAACAAGGGGCAAGTTGTCATTTGGGGAAAGTCCAGAGAAGTTACCAAATTATCTCTAGAAATGGGCAAGTTTGATGGGGATAATGAATGCAATGTATAATGTTTGAAAATAAATAAAGCTCTTTAGCTTTGACATTGGGCTGTTGGACTGGAGTGGCTGGAGCTACCCCAGCTACCGATTTTCAACATCCACACAAACTTGTATTCCTACTAATAAATTAAGACACAAGGGGTGAAACAGCCACATAATTTAAAAAATAACTGCTTCAAATTAAAGTAAAAGGAATGTCATAGATACTAGTACAACATGTCACACTCCTTAATGTGATTAATGATGTGTGTCAACTATTGTGACTCAATATAATTTCCACTGGTTAAAAAGTAAGAGTGGTTGACATATTTATTAAAACGTGTCATTAATTTTAAGTTAAATATTTCTATATCTCTAGTCTAGAATGTAAAAAAAATGTCTTGTAAATTGAAGCCATGTGTTTATAGACTGAATTACATACACGCATATAGTCACAGCTTTGTAGCCTACTCTATAATCTACTGAACTATGTAAACACCATGGTAAACAAATACACAATATATATATATGTATGGATGTGTGTAAAATATCATTTTAAGGTGAATTATTTTAGAACAACATTAAAACACAGATGTGCAGTAAAAATTATGGAATTGTCAAGAGAGAGTCTTACATCGCTGTGTGAACACTCAACAACTCAAAGCCCTTTATGTGAAGAAAATATCTGCCCAGTATGAGGCAGAAGAATTATATTTAAGTTGATTGGATTGAATTGGTCAACTCTTAAAGTTTACCTGATTTTATTTTTATTTTTTTCTTATGCTAAGCGTGTGGTGGCTTGTGCTCACACGATGCCATATGCAATTGTGAATTTATTTTTATATTTTATTTATACATTTTCAGTTTTATAAACAAACAGCACAGCAACAAACAAAAAAAAAACCCTAAGACAAAGAGGAATTAGAAAAATAAGAAACATAGGGCAGGGCGAAAATAAAGCAAAACAACAACAAAGACATGCTCTTATAGGATATCTTACAATACAGTAAGTCAACTTAAAAAAAAAAGAAAAGAATCAGCACCAACTTATAAGAGATCCCAGTGTGTCTCATTGGCCTAGGACAGTGTAAGTACATGGTTTCTATACATATAAGTAGTGTGGACAACTGTTTGCACAAACTTAAACAAGCAGAATAAAACTTTAGGTTGTCTTTGATAAGATTGTGAATGTATTTTAAGTGTTTTCGCCCAAGAAAAAAAAGAAAAAAGTACAAGTTTGTTTTTTACATTTTTATTTATTTAAAGGGCAGGTTTATACGTTTATCTTCCTCCTGCACCTTATTGTTATTTTTAAAAGCATAAAATGAAGTTTTGTTCTATATTGTGCGGCTTAAAAGGAATAAAATAAATTAAACGAAATATATATCTAAGTTGTATACAAACACATTTTGTATTTTTTCTTACAAATGACGCTACGCTGCTGCAATTATTAATTAATTAATTATTATTATTAATTTTATTTTTTGTTCCAAAGGACAAGCCCCTAACTCTATAGACGGCTCTCGTCTGTTTTATAGAAAACAACCTGTAGTCAGTGCTTAAAGGACTTTTCATTATGCTTGGTTGTCGGAGATATTATTCCTGATACCGTAAACCATGATGTAAATAAACAAGGTTACACACCGTGTATGTTAGTTTGTGCTTGCTACTATCATGTCCGTGTTTTTTTTGTTTGTGGTTTACGACCACGAAATCAAAAGGTTTAGCGCCTGAAGGTCTGAACTCCCCGCGTCCTGTTGTTTACCCGGAAGGGAAAGAGCGTCCATGCTTTACATTTCCGTTGTCTTCCCATCACCGCGCAGTAGGAGAGGCTACCTGAGCTAAGCTACCAGCTGGTTAAAGAGCAGCCCGCTGTGGTCGCCTTTGTTTCCCGTCTTAAACGTCTTGACATGTGGCAGCCTCTTCTTTTAGCGTCATATTAGTGCTTCACAAAGAGAAAGAAAAACGGAACCCAGCCAGTTTTATTCTCCACCCAGTGCTGTGCTTTTGTCAAAACTGTTCCAGAAACATGGCGGATGGCGGGCATTACTACAACGGTGAGAAACATGTTCACTATCGGCCCTTACTTATGTTGTTCTGCTTGTGCCGTTTCCCTCCAGACCGAGGGGACTTTATGGTCAGCAGAGAGGTCAGGAGCACTGGTTTCATTTTCCAAGGAGGTAAAATGATATCTCGGCCTCTTTTATGGAGTCTGATTGTTGTTTTTTTTGTAGAGCATGAGGAGTAACAATCAGCTCCATTATTGCTTTGTGATGTTAATTATAAATGTAAGAGTAAGTACTTTTGGCATATTGGTTTTGATCACTATTTTTGTTAAGATGTCTGAGAGTGATCTAGTTAAAGATTTGTAGGTTATGTATTGTTAATTTATTATTCACACTGCAGGAAATAAGAATTATTGTCAGGCTTTAATTTTCTGCCAAAGTCCTCCTCTTGCTGTGATTTATATAGTGATAGAATTGTAATCAACTTTGATCTGATTTTAATGTTTTTGATATGACTTTTTATGTGTGTGATAATATATTTACGTCAAACTGAGTAATGTCTGACTGCTGTTCCCTTTTTCTCAGAGCATGATGATAGGACTGCGCCACAGCAGTATCGCAACCGTAAAGGCAGGGACAGCAACAAGGGTCGGTCAAATGACAGGTCCCGCAGAGACCGCCCAAGAGGTGGTGGCCCTGGAGGCTTTGGAGGTCCTGGGCCACGGTCTAGGCTTGATGATCCCGATGGAGATGTAACTATGAGCGACAACTCCCAGGACAACAGCTCCCAGAACAGATTGTAAGTGTGGCTTACTAACCAAGACAAGTCGTTGTTAAAAACACATTGTTGATGATTAAACTGTATTTGGTTTCAGTGGGACCAACTGTACCGTAAAGCTCTAAAACATACAGCTATGTTTGTAAACAGAAAAGGCAAACAAGTTCTCATACTAATGAGAAGTTTCATACTAATTTCAGGTCCATGATGTAACTGTATCTAATGCTCTGCCATGCATCAGGACACACCACAAACACTTGGTTGACATGATGCATCAAATGCAGAAGCAGTCAGACGAGCCTTTGCTTTTGTATATTTGAAGAAACCAAAAAAAGTATTATTGTTTTTTATTTCTATTTCACCACTATAACTATTATTTATTGTCCCCTTAATTGTTCAATATTGGCTTTAATCATTCACAGTGCTTCCCTTCAGTTGCCCCACACACACACACACACACACACACACACACTCACACACATGCTGACAACTCTCTGCTCTCTTAGTGCTCACAGCGGTTTGCCCTTTTCTTTGTTTCTCCGCTCTTTGTGCCTCAGCACTGTTGACATACTTTATCAGCTGTATATTTTATTAAATTGCCCAAAACAATAATCTTGCATTTAGAATGTTTCAACCTTACCTTAAATCTCACAACAGCAGGTGAGCTGCTTGAGGAGGAGGGACACCTAACGTTTACATTTACAGCAGGGAATCAACAGAATCAAAAATGGGCTTACAGTCTTTAAAACGGCAACATATGAGGATCCTTATTTACAATGAGGCATCAAACATGCAAAAAAATACTATAAACTGTAGAGCATATACCGTAACTCCACTAGGGCTGTTGAAATGAATCATTTAATCGATGCATTGCAATGCAGACTAGAAGATTAATGCATCGATGCTGGGACAGGACGTAATCGATGCTGACGAGGGTTAGAAAAAAGCATCTGCCTAAAAGTCCCCTACCTATCTGTAGTTGAAGTGCTTTTAATGTGAAACACTCATATCAGGAAATGGGGTGTTTACAGCAGTAGCAACTTAACACAACTCGTCTGAAATAAAAAGGACAGAAAAAAAACTAACCCTGAACAAAGCTCACAGCTAAAGGCTACAACGTCCACAAGGGAACACACAGACTTAAAAACATCTTTCTCTCGTATAATAAACTAAACACACAAAAACCTATACTATGACCTATACTGTAGGCTACCTCTATAATGTATTAATTTTAACCTACAATGTAAAGATATTGATATTTACATTGTTGTCTCAATCACTTTTTTAAATTATACAAAAGAAGTTCATATTTATAAGACTGTTTGTCTCTGCTTATGAAAAAGTAGCCATGTGCAGTAATATAGAAAATATAAACCTGAGATAGTCGTAATCGAATCGTAAGACCAGTGAAGATGCACAGCTCTAAACTTCACTGACCTTAATACCTGTTATGTCCAACTGTGTAAACTTTTCATAGTCCGTAGCGACAGCCCAACATTCCTTGATTCCCATAATGCTTTGTGCAGGACTGATTTTCAAATCCAAGAAAATGCTACATATTGTTTAGTGTTGTTAACTGGGAGGATGTTTTTTTTTTTTATGCAGATAAATGTCAGTTTATGTAAATCTGTAGTTTGACACCATAATTGAGGGGACTACTACGTTTCATGACTACAGCTCTCCTACGTAGACAGTCATTCTTCAAACTTGACAACATGTCTGGTAAGGTATACAATTAGAATATAATGTTCATGTAGAGTCACGAAGAAAGACCTAGTTAATCACGTAAAGGGTTAAGTAAGATGAAATCATTATTGTGATATTTCTTCTCACAACCCACCTGCAGGACCCGACCAAGGCCCACACTTTGGGAAGCACTGAGTTGGATGATAGTATAAATCCACCGTTAAAGATTGTATAGCATTTTTAAGACTCGGAAAGTACATTAAATGTGTTTTAAGCCAGAAGGCTATGTAAGAAATGTTCACGTTAAACCAAACTGTTAAAAATGGACAGAGTCAACCTGTAAGCAAATGCGTAGTAGAAAAGAAATCCCACCATCGACAAAAAGTTTACTCTTAATACCTGCTAGTTTCAAATAACTATGCAACACACCATCATAAACCGTTGCAATTGTTCCTGGGTTCTGGGAAAGCTCTTACAGTGGATACTGACTAAAAAGTATTTGATTTAATATACGGTCTTGTTTTGTCTTTTTCAGCAACCCATATGTAAGACCTTTTCGGAAAAGAGGGGATGGACGGTTTGACAGAGACAGACGACGAGGAGGAGGAGGAGGAGGAGGAGGAGGAGGAAACAGGGGAGGTGGTGGCAACTTTAGGGGCCCGGACAGAGGTGGAGGAGGCGGCACTGGAGGAGTAGGGAAAGCCCGGTCAGGATGGTACAAAGTAACGGTGCGTATCATTCCAAGTGCTACGTGGAATGTAGGGTTTTTTAAATCCGTACAAGGAGCTCATACTTGGTTCTTCTGTTGACAGATACCACACGGGAGGAAATATGACAAGAAATGGATATTGACAGCACTTCAGAACATCTGTTCAGTTACCTACACACCTGTCCAGGTGAGGTTCAGCACTATCTTTATTATTCATATACTTGAATCAACTATTATGCCTTTATTATTCATATAAATATTGACGACACTAATTGCGTTTCTTCCTTCCCCTTTCTGTCCAGTTCCACGTCGACCATAATCGAGCTCATTTCTATGTGGATGATTCATCTGCTGCTAACGCTTTGCACAGATGTTCCCACAAAATCACAGACACAGATGGCTATAAGGTATGCTTTTGAAACAATGAAAGAACTGACTGACTATTTGTGTCGTAAACATAAACCTATCACATTTGATAACAGATCTTTATGTTAAAGATTTAGTTAAATCTAATTGTTTCTCAGAGCTATTGCCTCCTATCACTGTTTAGCGTCTTTGCTCTCTCATGACTGAGTTTGCCTTTTTACGTTTCATAACGTTAGCTTAGGTGGCTTGCCAATTAGTTCATGAGGAGAAAACAACATCGTCCGAAATCTCCAAAGCAGTTTACAGTTCTCGACTCCTTTAAGAGGCAGAAATCTTATACATCATATACATGATGTTAGAATGTTTGTTTGTACAGAAGACATATTCTCTTGTCTATTGAAAGAGTAACACAAGAGGACCAGCTATTTTGAAATGACACACTGCTTATAATTTATGTTATTAGTTCCATAAAGTCGAAAAATTACCTTTGATCCAATTAGCTTATCAATTTGTATTGGATCAAAATTGACTGAATCTAACTGATTCAATTTGTCCTATATTTTAATAAACGGTCCCAGAATCAGATCGTTTTTTTAAAATATATAATTATTGTTTTATAATTATTTTTATTACTTGCTTTCCATCAGTCATACTTACAAGTTTTTTATCAATCAAAATAATACCATAACATTTAACTTAGTTACACTTTTCAAGACTGAAATCAGGATCACATGATATATTTACCTTTATATCCCAAGACACAATAGAGAAAACAAATATATATATATATAGAAACCTGTACATTAATGTCCCATTCATTCATGTCACACAAATCTTGTCCCTCGCATCCCACCCCCACCCTCTACCACATTAATACACACACACACACACACACACACACACACACACACACACACACACACACACACACACACACACACACACACACACACACACACACACACACACACGCACGTCCTTGTCCTGTGTTCTCTACCGCTTTCCACCCCACTCCTGCCAGCCATGTCACAGATTGTTTCATAGATTTTATAATGCTTCTTTGATACACTTCCATACCACATTGAATTGTTTCATCTTGTTGTAATCTTCAGATAAAGCCTTTTCTATAGTCAAATAAGATATCATCAATTCTTTCCAAGTACTTCCAGTGTTTTAAAATCAGCTTTTTATAAATGAGGGCAGAGAACAGAATCTGCCATCCCAAAGGATAATGTATTTTTTCGGCATTCTGGAAAATACACACTTCAGCCGAAAATTAGATTTTTGTTTGACATGTAACAGACATCCATTCTTGAATCTCACTCCACACTTTGTTCACTTTAGTACGAGACCAAAATGAGTGTATAAGGGAGTAAGGACATCCACACTTCACACACTGATCAGAGGAGTTAGGATAAAACTTGTGGATTTTATCTCAGGTGTAATATATTCTTGTCATCAGTTTATGTTGTATTAATCGAGGGTTTTCATTTGTAGTAGTGCTGTTGGTGAGGTATAGACATTTCTTCCACTTTGTGGCGGCATCTTTGAAATTCAGGTCTTTATTCCATTTATCGTACAACATTTGCATTGAGTAAAGTTTAGATTGTTCCTTAAGCAGCATGTTGTACACTGTGCCAATTATTTTTTTCCTCTTTACCCAGAAACTCTTCAAAGGGTCCTGGCACCAAATCATATTCTAAATCAAAATTGTAATCCAGTTTCTAAGCTGTAAATACCTAAAATATTTAAAAGTAGATTTTCGGTATTTTTATTTGGTATCATTTTTAAAAGGTAATCGTGTCTGCTATAAAACCTAAAGCTGCTCTGAAGTCAGGGTGAATTTCAATAGAGAAGCAGGACACAGGACATAACCTAATATGGCATAAACGAAACGACACTAGTAAACAAAAAAAACTTACACATACCCTTTGGAGCTTCTCTTCTTTAGACATGCTTCATTGAGCTACTCTGCTCCACTCCGTGGTGTGTTCAATGGCCATAACAGAACCAGTATCAATCCAACATATAACAATAAAGTATTGCATTTACCCAGAATCAGATCTTAGCCCTTGAAAAACTTGATCTAATCGTTTGGAAAGGAGAGATTCACACCCCTTCTGACTTTTATTGCTTCAGAAAGTCTCCTTTCCTGTTTGAGTCTCTTTGTATTGTAGGATCATGGTAACATGCTACATACCATTACTTCAGCTTGCAATTGACATGCTTTATGTTTGTCAAAAAATAACAGTATGGCAACTTTGACCTCTTTAAAACAACCAACCATAAATCACTATTGATCTCTTTTGTTTAAGGTCGAAGTGCACGTCAACCCCAGCAATCCACCATCCTTTCTCCTCGCTGACCTGAAGCCTGAACACTTGGAACATCTTAAGGTGAACTAGAGGAAGAAATTCTCCCAAATGGAGCAGTGACAACATGGGACATTTTAAGACGACAGTCATAAGTCTCTGAAATACTATTTCAAATGTAGTATAGTCTCTTGAACTATGTATTAGATTAATCTGTGTAAGATGCAGAATGATGATAAGATGCAGGAATTTATTTGAGTCAGCTTTGCACTTGATATGACAGAAGTAGAAAGGGATTTGTTGTTTTCGAAGTAATTTGGTTGTGTTTCATTTGATTTAAAATATTTGAATGCTATTCAGATGTAGCCTCACATAATGGCTTAATGACTGTTTATTTTCCACAGCAATGCATGGCAAAACGTTTTGATGGTTCTCAGCAATCACTGGACTTGAACAACATCAGAACGGACCCAGGTAATCATGCTAGAGATTCATTCTTAACCCAGTTTGGGGTTTCAGGGTTATGCACTAGAAAGAAAGTCAGACCTGTAATTGTTTGGCTCTTACCACACTACCATTCTGTAGTATAAACTGATCTTGATGATGTATGAGATTACACCAAACTGATTGAGTGCATGATCCACTTATAAAAGCCCCTGCATCTGCAATGTTGTGAACTGGGAGCTGCAAAGTCACATTCTGAAGCCCCTTAATAGATGAAGAGTTGCAGCATCCTCCATGTAATTAACTTGACCTAACCTGCCCATCCGTACCTGTAAATTGATTTGCAAATATGTTATGTCAAAACCTTGATACTAGATACAGAAAGCTCCATTTAAATTTAAAATGTGATATGGGTTAGTTTTCATGACTGTCAGTGGTAATGGATGGATATGCTTTCTAGGACATGCGCAAGTGTTCTGTAACCTTAACAACGGGATCTAGCCTACGGTGCAACCGAGCCGGAGCTGGCCGGAGCACAACGCATCAATTTAGCACAGAAAAGCACAAGCGGGACGGGAATTCAGACACCGATACAACATTAAACACTCCGGTTTAGCGGTTCAGAAAAACGACCGTTTGTGTGTTTGTTTATGTGTTTATAAGGTTTGTATTGAGTTGTATACCACGTACATCGTATTATCTCGTGCTGTCGCGAGTGAATCTTTAACATTGCCGCGGAAATTCCTTTGTCTCCGTACTCCACTGGAGCTTAAATATGTATCCTAAGAAGGGGGCAAATGCCAGGCACAAAAGGATCTTGTTACTGGTTTACTTAAAGTAAAATTCAGAACATATCTTTGCCATGATTTCCATATAAAGCTGTCGAGATTGTGCAGACAATATAAAGACTTGGACAGATTGTTGTTTATTACTTCTTGAATAATAAGTCTTCTTTTAGTCTTTGGCACATTTTTGCTCATGTAATTTTGTATGACAGACTTGGTGTCCCAGAACATTGAAGTCATCTTGAACCGAAAGTCAAACATGGAAGCTGTTATCAAGATCATCCAAGAAAACATTCCAGAGGTAATTTGAATGCACAGAAGGTTTTTGATGTAGTTTGAACCCTAGCTGTGAACGGTAGCTTCTTGCTAATAGGCAACCAATCCAACTGCATGTGTTATACAGGTTTCTGTGGTTTTTTTTCCAGTTGACATGCTTGAACATGAGTAACAACCGAATTCACAAACTGGATGAACTTGGTGAATTGGTTACAAAGGTGCCTAATCTGAAGACACTCAACCTTTCCCACAACGAGGTGAATTACTGTACATTGGATTTTGAGAATGATAATTAAGCATACATTTGGCACTCTAGCTGGTTTGATTTAGTTCCTGTTATCACACCTACTTTCTTGTTCTGTTTGTGTTCAGCTGAAGTCCGACCGGGAGCTGGACAAAGTGAAAGGCCTCAAGCTAGTGGAACTGTGGCTCAACAGGAACCCGTTGTGTGACTTCTTCAAGGATCAGGCCTCATACATCAGGTCAGTCAGCTGATCAGGGGGTGAGGGAAGATGTTGGACCATTTGGATGTCCAGTAGTGTCTGCTGTATGACAGGTGTATGCAGCAGTGATCTACTTATGAAAGATCAAGGAAGCTTTGGGGATCTTTGCTGTAAGATGTCTTCACATAAGCTTAAAAAATACTTCCTTAGCAGTCAAAGATTAACTTTTGGACCAACAGGTGCATCTGACATTCACTGTAACTCCCTGTGTTGGTGTGTGTGTCTGTGTGTGTGTGTTTTTTTGTGTGGCAGACCCTTATGGTGAAAAGAAGATTATTATTTTCTATATTGCCTTTTCCCACTGAAATCTAAACATTTCTTGTTTTTAAACATTGCTAAGGACATAAAACCACAATCTGTTTCACTTCATTCCGGTCTTAAACTCTTGATCTTCTCTTTGCTGGTTAGCATTTAGCCTCTCTGTGGGACATCCTTTCAAGCTTCTGTTCTGGTTCTCAGTGACTCTGTACCCAGCATCCCCCTGCTGACATCTTGAAAAGTTATCCCATAACCTGCTATAAAACAAATATGTAAGATGCATAAAATAATCACTTAACTTAAAAGAGAAATTTAACATTACATCTCTTTAGCTCAATTTTCAGTGAACTTCTTTTGAAGAAATCGCTTGAGCAGTACTGTAAAACAGTGTACGTGTGCTATCTGTGAGAGAGCAATCAACAGTTGTTTTGACAAACGTTCGGAAGAAACCAAGAAAACTCACAGCAAGTGACTTCCCCTCCCCTCAAAACACCCTTGCCCACTTGGTCCCCCCCCTCCCGTATTAGGCCAGTATGGAAGGCTGGATAGCCTATGACGGGTAAGATCCCACCTTGAAACCTCGGGACAACCTAAGGCAGGCACAGTCACGATTACTCGGCCTCAGTCCCTGTGAGCTCTGACTCACAATATACACGACGAGAAGAATTTGAGCAGAAGGGGCTCCACCGGACAAATGTGGGCTGAGGAGGAGGGGAATATGTGTCACTATCAGTGACCAATGATCAGCCAAAGAGAAAAGCACTTTGTGCCTTCCACTATGTTGGGTCTGTTTGGCCTGAAAGAAGCTTCTGCTGTTCATGGAATGACATGGAGGGTTTGGCAAATAACCCCTAACTAAACTTCTGAGGGGATTACACTCTGAACTGAATCAAAGTTCAGTTTTGCCTGAAATATGTGTGTTGAGAAAAAAGTGAACACACTTCTCATACAGTGTTTGCTATCTGTGACCACCAGTACAAAAGAGCTCACATATTGAACAGAGACAGCAGAAAAGAGGATTTCTGCTCTGGACAGACACCCAATGATTTCCTGTCCCTCTGTAACCAGAGGTCAGGATCCAAACTAAGCTTAATAGTAAAAAGCCATCAGCATTAAGTCCAGTTCCTACTTTTGCACGAAGAGCAGTCTCTTCAGAATTGATGGTGTCTTTGAGATACTCCATTGATAACAGGTTGATTGTACAGGACGGGAAGGCTTTAGGATGAGCGGTGGGACTGCTGGGTCCGACTCACTTTGTAGCCTGCTGTCTTTTTTTTTTTTTTTTTCCAACTCTTTTCTCAGGAAGTCACTCTTTGCTGACAATCATGGTTGCAGACCTCTTAAATGATGACGTGTGACTGGCACCTCTTCTGAATGTTAGACCACTTTGTGTGTTTGTGTGAGTTCTACATTATATCTTCTGTGCCTGTTTTGTATTTTGGTGACGTTAACGACGTTAACCCATGACTGTCGGTAACCACCTCTCTGCCCAGCAATGTATACCTTTTTGTTTCACAAAAGGAAAATGGAAATGTTTACAGCGCAGTCTGTTAGATCTTGGGTTCTACGTATTTGTGTGTGTGTGTGTGTGTGTGTGTGTTTGTGTGTGTGCTCTTAGAAAAGTGTGTTTATGTTGCTCCCCCCATGTCAGATCTGTGTTTCTCCATATTGGGGGAGAGGGTGAGTATACCTGCTGGTAAGTACACTTGGGGAAGGGAGAACTTTTAAAGCGCCAAGTTAAAAATTAGAGAAAGGACAAGGGTTTGTCAGTTTGGCTATTTACTAGTGTACAGAGCTCTACACTATTTGTTGAAGGTACTCACCACTTTCATGTGTTTGTCCCCATATTCTCCTAAATGTTAAATAAAAGGCATATATATGACCCAAATGTAATGCCTTTGCACAAGAGATTAACTCCATATTACTGTCTCATCTTTTGGATAACCCTTTATTCTTTGCACAGTCTGAGAATAAAAGTGGGCTTCCTGATCATACTAGGTTAGAAACGTGTCTGTTTAAAATTGTTACAGCAAACTTCATTGATGGTCATCACTGGAGCAAAGAGTCTCTGAGGAGCTGACAGACTGGAGTCACACTGATCTCATTTCTACCTCTCTCTTTTGCTTTTATCACTGTTAATATTGTGGTAATTAGTACAAAAAGTAAGAAAAGAACTCTCCCCCACCTTGCCCCACTATATCCTCTGTTATCTTGATGTTTCACTTTGGACATTGACCTTTTTTAGTTTGGCAGCAACACCGTGCCAAAAACATCTGAAAGGCTATAAATGAGAATAAGTCAGCAGGTTTGATTGGCATTGGTATCAAACATGATTAATCTGATACGTGAGAGTTGGTTTGTGATGATAACTTTCTTGTTCTTTATTTTTGTTCCTCTGCCAGTGCTGTGCGACAGAGGTTTCCCCGGCTTCTCAAACTGGTAAGACAACAAGTTTGTCTCCTATATTTGTCCCTTTGCAGTCATCGTCCATTCTAAAAAGAAATTATCTAGTTTTTGAAATGTGTTCACATACAGCATTTGGAGACACACAGCAGAATGTTCATGTAGGCATCCCGATGTACTATCTATGAAGAAAGAATAAACAATGGCCAAAAAGTTTTCCACTAATAAGATCTTTCTTCCTTTATTTGATGTTTCTTTTTAGGATGGTAACGACCTCCCACCACCCATTGGCTTCGATGTGGAAACGCCCACCACCATTCCTCCCTGCAAGGTTACTTATTTTATCTCATGTGATTCATGGTGTATTTTTATTTTACTTAGACGTTTTTACCCCCGGTTTAATGTACAGTATATTAATTTAGAACTTTGCAAGAGACAGTATTCCCACGGCAGCCATGTTGCCATGACGTCACACTCAAGGTTGGGTGACCTCCTTTGGTTTGTTTGGATTTGCAGTACTTTAAAATATGTCATCAGTTAGCTTATTCACAGTTTTTGTCAGTTTGTGTGCTCCCTGTCGAGAAGTCCTGTGCAAATTTCCAGCAGACTTAAGTTTACTGCACTCCGCGTTAATCAATGTTGCTGCTTAAATTAATAATCTTCTATGTTCCTTTTTTTTTTTTTATAACCATTGCAGGGCAGCTGTTTTGGCTCTGATGAAATCAAGGCTCTTATCCTTCGTTTCTTGCAACAGTGAGTTTTCAGCTCTTTAGTTGACATTCTTTTCACAGCAGCAGTCACTTCATCAGGGTGTTAACCATGTCAAAACTTAATCATGTGATGTGACCCAAAATCTGACTCATTACAGAGTTTATTTTTATTCTATAAAACTTCCAGTAAAATGATACATGATTGTGTCGCAGGTACTACAGTATTTACGACTCGGGGGACAGACAGCCGCTCCTTGATGCTTACCATGATGGAGCATCACTGTCCCTTACAACACCGTACTCCACCCAGAACCCCTCCAGGTGAGAACCCATAAACACTCATGTTCATAACAAGACATACACGCTACTACATCGAAGAGTACATGGAGGAATAGGATGTTAAGTTCTTGCTGTATTTCCAGTGCTTTTAAAGATTTTTCATTCTTTTTAGTTTACTGTGCTATTTGCTGCTGTTTTCCCTGACGCCTCGCTGTCTGTTGTACTCATATTGATTCCACTTTCTTCTGGTTTCAGGAGCAGTCTGGGAGAGTATCATAAAGACACCCGAAACCTGAAGAGGATAAAAGACTCCAGTAAGTTAACATAATAAGCTGTGTTGACCTTTCTCATATCTTCTGAATTAATGACTCTGAACATTTGTGATTTAAGATTCCTCCTGTTTACCTCTCCGATTATTTCATCCTTTAGCGATACGGTTTCGACTCCTGAAGCACACGCGCCTGAACGTTGTGGCATTCCTCAACGAGCTACCCAAAACTCAGCACGACATCGCCTCCTTCACTGTTGATGTGAACACTTACACTGTGAGTTCATGTTAGCTCTGTGAGCCAGCACTTTGGATAATATGTTCCTCTCGCTCTCGGTCATTTCTCCTTATTAATAATGGAATAATTATTTTCATTTACAGAACATGCTACTATCATTCACAGTGAGCGGCGTCTTCAAAGAAGGTGAGATATTGGTTGTGATGGTTTTTTAATTCTATTCTCATTTATTGCAAAGCCAAATGGTGTTGATCTTGTTACTAACTAGTGTCACATTTGTCTTTCAGTTGTTGTTGATGGAAAATCCAGAGAGTCCACCATGGCTTTCTCTCGGGTTTTCATCACAGTCCCAGCAGGTGGTGCAGGGTAAGTTTAAGGGAGCTCCCAGCTGTTTTTAATATCTACCAGTTCTTCATATTTGCTCTTGAAAGAGAAATGGCATTAAATGATGATCAGCATTAGTGTAAACTCAAGAGCAAAAATTTGACAAGGAGACCTCCTTGTCTTCTCTGATTTAAATCTAGTAAAATCACAGACTTGACACAAGTGGGGTTTCAGAGTAAATTCTCCTTCATAGGACAGTTTACAGTGTAGATATAGACACGTCAGGCAGAGGGGGAATCTACATGAAAACACAAGAAAAAGCCAAAGTAGTCTGACTACACTGGTTTTATCTTGAAGAGCCTATCAATCTGGGAACTGGCTTTATATGACTGGTGAACCTCAAGGTTCAGTACATTGTGCAAATAAGCCGAGAGAAGGCGGTTCACATGTTTCTGGTAGACTCATTCTTCCTCTTCACTCTGTTCCTGCTATGCCACAGTTTGTGCATCGTGAACGACCAGATGTTCATCCGGATGGCTACCACGGAGGAGATTCGCAGAGCCTTTGTTGCTCCCGCTCCGACTCCATCTTCAAGTCCTGTCCCCACTCTCACGGCGCCTCAGCAGGAGATGCTCACTGCCTTCTCACTGAAATCCGGCATGAACCTGGAATGGTCACAAAAGTAAGTTGTTTTTGTTCTTGTTGAAATGCCCCTTTTCCTGCCTTTACATTAAATATCTAAACTTTTTTTTTTTTTGACTGTTGCAGGTGTCTTCAAGACAATGGGTGGGATTTTAACACAGCGGCACAAGTTTTCACCCAGTTAAAGGTAATGTAACTTTAAAAAATTCTGCATTCCTACAAAGGTTTGTTCAGTTTCACAATGAGGTTCTGAAATAATTTTTATCCTCAATCTCTTTTTAGACGGAAGGCAAGATCCCAGACGTCGCGTTCATAAAATGAAGGGTTGAATCATAATTCTGTGTAATAAAATCTGAAGTTATTTTATTTATGACTTTTTGTTTTATCCTTTTATTCTTTTCCTTTCCTTTTATTGAGAATAATGTAGATGAAGTTATTCATGTATACTGCTGTTATTTTATCAGCCAAATGTCAACTGTTTGACCGAAGACACTGATGTGGAGATACAAAATTGTATTATCTTTAATTTTTGGTCATTGTTGTGGAAATCACTTAATGTTTTCATAGGAATAAAGACGATGGTTTGTGTTCACATTATTTTGCTGTATTATGTTTAACAATAAAAAATATTTTGTTACACAACTGTTGTTTCAATTAGTTCAAGCCATGCAAACAAAACATTAAGGGTGGAAGGTCTAACTCACCGTGGGAATATGAATAAAAATCACCAATAACAATGATATTTCACAGTGTTTAAAGTTACACATGTCCTAATGAAGACTGACCTGGGAGAAAGCTCTTGAACAAAATGAAAAGAGTTACTTATTGCATTATAATTTTCATTTTTAGGCAAACTTTGTAACATTTATACATTAATAAACGATCAATTCAGATAGGGCTGCAGAGGGAAACAGATTGAAATTAAGACAGAGGTTATATCAAGCCTGTATTTAGTATAAACGAGCAGCTTGTTCACAGCTTACCAATATTGTTTTGCAAATTTTTAAGTTTTCAAGTGATCAAAAGCTGTTTTAATGATCCAGTAAATATGTCACAAACTATAAAAGGCATTTTTTTCTGAATCACTTATTTCTTACTCATTCCAGCACAGCGCACGTGCTACTTGTCAATGGCAATGGTTATTTAATAGTGAAAGTAAACTTAAGACGACCACGGGACTGTTTTCAAAGGTGGAAAAGGGGTATAATATGTCCTCTTTAAGCAAGTACCCCCCATGAACACTTAAACTATAATTTACTGTAAAAAATCATGTTATTTTTTTCTCTACCTTTAGATATATTATGATTTCTTTCAAAAAAAAAAAAAAAAAAAAATTCAACTGCAGTTTCAACTGCCCTTACAAAGATGGCGCCCGGTTGGCGTCGTGTTTCCGTTTTCCGGACTTCGTCTTTCGTCACTCCGACGCGTGACGCACGTACGTTCGCCATACCATCAGTCGGCGTACGATAACAATAAACAACCCTGGAACAAGAGATACGCACCAACGGGACCTGTCGCTTCAATTCGACACAAACGTATTAAAAATATGAGCCGAAACAGCGACAGACATTTGGAGTAACTTCTCATCAAGTATCAGGAGAGTCTTGAGGGTCCTGACACAAAGGATTTTCGAGTTTTTTGGTTTTTTTGTCAAGCCTAGGGGGGGAGAACCAGGGTTACGGTTTACCCCTTCCTTCTGTAGCTTAGCTGTGGCTCATTCCTTGTGTTTGCACACTTTGTGTTAGTTTGTTATGCAGTTGCCAGAGGACTGCACTCGCACTCGTTCTCCTCCACCACCTCTTCGCTCCCTCTCCCCGCTCTCTCTGGCCCTATGTCTCGCTGGCTTTTCCCCTGGTCAGGCTCAATCAAGAAGCGGGCCTGTCGGTACCTTTTACAGCACTACCTCGGTCACTTTCTGCAGGAGCGACTGAGCCTGGACCAGCTGGGCTTGGACTTGTACAACGGCAGCGGAGTAATCAAAGAGATCAACCTCGATGTCTGGGTGAGTGTTTTTGGCTGCCAGCTTCACCACACAGCAGTTGTTGGGGTTTTTTTTCCACCCTTGTCTGTTTCGCAACTTGCTCTCGAGTTCAACAACAATCTCCAGTGTCATGCTCATAGCCTAGCTCGCATTTCTTCGAGGAAATGCACTTGTGGGAAACACATCACCAGCTCAGCAGACGAAGTGTCTCTAAGATCTCTTCTTAGTGCCATTACATTGTGCATACATATTTCCTCTGCCATGTTTCGCTGTACACTTCCTGAGCTTAATGAGGCTGACCCCCAGAGTTACAAGACACATATTGAAACTGGTTTTACTTTCTTTAACTCTTGATTTCTTCATCTTTCTCTGCAGGCGGTCAACGAGCTTCTTGAGTCTCTCGGGGCTCCTCTGGAGATAGTGGATGGCTTTGTGAGCAGCATAACAGTGACCATCCCCTGGCAAGCTCTCTTGACTGATCACTGCACCTTAGAAATATCCGGTCTTCAGATAACATGTCGACCGAAATATCGCAACAGTAAGTCCTAATTTTTGGGGATTTCCCATTAGTAAGTAAGCATTGGTCAGTCACAGGGTGAGAGAGGAGTGTGGTCCAAAATCACTACAATTGTAAAAATGAGTCTGTCCCTATTTGGTTGCTGTTCTCTCTGACTACTACTTTTTGCAGGTGAGCAGAGATAAGTGTGCTTTTGGTATGAGTTGATGTTTAATAATAAAGTTCTACAGAAAAAGATGCACATACTGTATAAGGTTAGCTATTTGTGAAGACGTTTTTGTGTTTCTTAATCAAATCAATGTGGAAGGGCGTTATATTTCACAGTTTAACAACTCGGTTACATATTTATCTGTAATAAAAATGTCTAGTCTCAAATAGTTAGTTCACTTGAATATGTGTGAAAGAATAACAGCAATTCTGACAATATCATATTAATCCATAAATGTCAGTTTCTTGCTAAATTGTTGTGAAAGGTCAAATTAGATGTATATTGATTGACAAATTTCCCTACTGTGAGCTTAAAAAAAGGAACTGAAATATCCATGTGTCTATTTTTTAACCATAATTCACATACTCGGGATAACTGATGCTTGCATTGGAAGTATTAGCCTTTTCTTGAATCATCAGTAACGTGCAGAAATCACTAGATCTTAAGCTGTAATGTTTGCACTCAGGTGGGGTCTGGGACTCCCAGGGCTGGTCATCAAGCATGACCTCCAGTATGCAGCTGGCTCAGGAGTGCCTGAAGGACCCCCCAGAGGCGTCGGAGGAGCCACCTGCCCAGCTTGAGGGACTCGAGATGTTTGCACAAACCATTGAGACGGGTGAGTCAAACTCCACTTTGTAAAGAAGTTTGTATGTCCAAACATCATCTTCAAAAAACAAAGAAATAAACAGTTTTAACTAAACTAAGCATGTCTCTCTTGCCATCTGTGTTTACAGTCCTTCGTCGTATTAAAGTCACTTTCATAGACACTATCGTTCGCATTGAGCACCAGCCCCTGGACCTGGAAACAGGCGTAGCCTTAGAGGTGCACATCAAACGGTAGGTCACAGATACACCTTGAATTTATAGATTTGTAAAGTGGCTACCACCTTTGTTCACTCAAAATGTTTGATGTAGTTTATATATAAATACAAACAGAGCCTCTGTGAGGATATTATTTGAGCACATTTTTCATTGGCTACGTTCTTATTTGATTCATCTCCCGGTTGCTGATACTAAGGTTCTGTTTTTATTTTGATTGGTTAGTGACTGTGTTGCCATTTAACTGTGACACTGTTGAGCCCTTTTCATTTTTTGTGGATTATTGACAACTCGACTCAGGATGGTTTTGTAGATCTGAGGTCAGTGACCAGAAGGTCCTGTTCAGCTCAGAAACTTGACTTTTAACAGAACAGCTGGTGTGAGTGTAATGCAGCGGGTTATAGTGGTATTGTTTATTACACAGGGGGCTTCCCTCTGAGATCAGAGCTTTACCTCAGACACACAGACCTCTAAGTCAGTAATCAGACAAATATCAATTGCTGCTCGTACTAATCAGTATGCCAACGTTGAATATACACATTTCAATCCCTGTGTATAATTTTATGAATTGTTGATAGAGTTTCTTAGTGGTACTTTGAGTTTTCTTTTCCTAAATATAAAATGAAATCCAGTTCTGTCACAATGCAGACGAGACATCTTTATTTGTACAAGAGCAAAATGCAGACTTTGTTCTCACAGTTCTTGACACCCTTTTATCTAACAATAAGGATATTTGTGTTGCTCCAGGCTGGAGTACTTTGATGAGGCAGTGCGTGATCCAGCCAGCCAGACCACCTTGCCTGTCGACATCCACCAGCCGCCTGCCTTCCTGCACAAGATCCTGCAGCTGAGCGCTGTAAAGTTGTTCTACGACAATATCGGCACAGTACAGGTGGGGAAAAGAGTCTTCTTTTCTTTTGCTTGTTGTTCTACCCCCTGCCTATTTTGATTCAGTTGACTAAAAAACTTCTTTTGACCCATTTCTTGAGTAAAAACTCAAAATATGAATACATGCTTCAACAGAGGAAATCTACCATACAGTCATTTATGCATTTTTGAGGTTGGAGGAAGGTAGTACTATAGATGTTGCTCTTCTCTTCATGAGAGATGAAAATGGCTTGTTGTAAAGAAAGGAAATGTCCCATTTTGTCTGCAGCTGCACTGACACAACCCTGACACAACGGACATGGAACCAATCCATTTATTTAAAGGTAGAAATACTCACAAATCTCTCTTCATTTTAGGGTCATCATGAGGACGAACATCCCGAATCATCTACAGTAAGTGAAGAAGAAGAAGAAGAAGAAGAAGAGGAGGAGGAGGAGGAGGAGGAAGGAGAAAAAGAGGAAGATGAGGAAGAGGTGAAGCCCAAGGCTTCTCCTGCCTGTCCTCCGTCTCAGCCACTGCTTATTGGAAGCTGCTCTGGTTTCATCGAGACCACCGTCAAGATCAAACAGAACGACATGTTGCCAGGACCAAAGGTGTGTGTGTGTACTACAACATGCTTAAGGATAAGTAAAAGTGGCTGTCCTCTCATATTTCCCCTTATGTTTCTTTCTGTTCATCAGTTGGAGTTAGACGGGAAGGTGGGCTGTGTCCACATGCTGCTGTCTCCAGATCAAATAACTCATCTGACAGACCTGCTGGCAGCACTCTGCATCGACACAGGTATATGATTAAACACAGCTACAGGGATCAACATTCCTTTATGCCAGGCCAAGGTTACACACACCATTACAGTGTAACGTTTACCACCAAACACTCCCCATGTTTTCTAAGTGTATTGGGATAGACAGGCAGCAACAGCACAGTTACACTGCTTCGGAAATAAAAACACATAA